TGTAACCACCTAGTCCCTGGATTTAGGCAGCTAGGTGAACTCCTCAGGGAATTAAAGAGAGTGAGCATATTCCTATCTGAAGGGGTGTGCGTCGTGATGATAGTGATTGTGATAGTACGTATGTGTGTGTGTGTGCACGTGCACAAATAATGTATGTTATGTTTTTTTTTTTTTTTTTTTTTAATGTATGTTATGTTTTAAGTTATACTTTTTAAGTTTCAATAAACTTACCAAGATTTTGGCAGAAAATAGATTTAAACAGAAGTTTGTTTTAGTTAAAATCTTTGTGGTTATAATTCTTAAAACCCCACAGAAATAAGCTCAAATAAAAATGGAGGGGCGGTGTATTAGAAACTACTGTTTCTAATAAAACCCAAAGGCAGGGTGTTTTTGGTTCAGGAAAACCTGGTTTGATTGCTCTGAGGTTTATATTATCTCTTTGCTGTTTCCTGCACATCTTTTTCTCTGCAGACTCTTTTTCTCATTCTACATCTTGTGACTTTCTACAGCACTTGAATTTATGAAGCTTGGATATTAGGTATTTAGTCCTTAGGGACAAAACTCAGATTGTCTCAGTTTGGGTCTGTTATCCCATCTGTGGCTATGGGGACAACATCACAATTGACAGATGTGGCTCTTATTACTAGAACCGTGCAGATGTGGGAGAAGAAGCAGCTTGTAGAAAAGAGGATGAGAAAATAAAATGATAGTTATTCAATTGCAAATTTTTAAAAATTTATACTCTGGTTATAAACATGAATCATTGTCTCCTCATTGTGTTGATAACTTCCTTAGAGATTCTGTATTCTTTACCTTGTATTATAGTTCTCAATAGAGAACTATAGAACACGTCCTGTCCTTGAGTTCCTTAAGGGCCATGTCTACTTTCCTTTGTATATGACAGTATATTTTATTCAGTTTTTATGCTAAGTTTTTGTTGAATGAGAATGACTATTGAGGAATAAATATTCAGTTTTACCTTGTATTGAGTGGAATATTAGTGGGGTATTATTATTCTTATATGTTTTTTTCCTTCTATTTTTAGTGGTATGCAATCTGTATTAGTGATGTTGGAGATTATGAAGGCATCAAGGCTAAAATTGCAAATGCTTACATTATCAAGGAGCATTTTGAGGTACTGATGAATTTTAAAAGTCATTACTTTTTTAATAGATTTCTGTTTCACTTATTTATTGCTGTATAGCAAACCATCTAAAATTTAGAGACCTAAAGCAGTGACAGCTTATTTCTCAAAATTTTGTGGGTTTACTCTGTAGTGGTGCTTTGATCTGTTTGGTGTAACTGAGATCATTTAGATTAAAGCTGTGTTCACTTCTGTCTTCAGCTGGGACGGGAATGTGCACGATATCCTGTCAAGTGACTGTTTCTCTCCACTTTTCTTTATATTATTTAGTACTCTAGCCCAAGTTTCTTTATAGCATGGTAGCTGGCTTCCAAGAATGAGCATTCCAAGGTAAAATTCCAGTGTGGAAACTTTGATCAGGCTTCTGTTTTGTATCACACTTAGTAAAGTCCTGTGGACCTAAACAAGTCATGTGGCCAAGGCAAGAGTTTGTGAGAGGGTGCTATATAAGGTCCTGAATACCCAGAGGTGTGGTCTAGTCTAACAATCTAACACAATTGACAAATCCAATAGTAATAGTACTGTTAACAGTATTATCTCTGTGTGGGTATTTTGTATTTTAATATTTCCAGTTATTTTATAGTAAGCTCTTTGTTAGGTGTCAGATGTTTTCTAGGAGTTTGTATTTTTTATGATGCGCATAAACACTACTTCATTGTCCTAAGCAAAACTAAACAAAAAACTCCCAAAAAACTGACACTAAAAACCCAACATATTTATTTCTCTTGTGATATTTTAGACCATTGTAAAAATTCAAAGGAAGAGAATATGACGGAAACATACATGGGGAGAATGTTAGATAAGCTCTTTACTAGCCTTTCTGAATTTTATAGTTATAGTCTCAATTCATAGTTTATATAATGGGTAGTAGAAAAGCTAGGAGTCAGGAGTCCTAGTTTTTTATTCAGACATCAATAGTGTGTGTATATATATATATATATATATATATATATATACACACACACACACACACACACACACGTGTGTGTGTATGCATATATATATATATTTCCATTTAATAATATGCAACATTTTTCACATTTTAAGAACTTTAAAATCAGATTATATTATATAATCAGTGGTATCCTATAATTGGCAGTGCTTTTTTCTTTTTAGTGGTACATATAATAATGACATATTGTAACTTTCACAGTATCTTAGATTTGGTGAAATGCCATAGTTTGCTCAGTGGCATTAAAAAAAATTGCCTAAATTATTCTGTGCTATATGATGTAGAAATATGTGGCAAATAAATTCAATGTGAAAAATTAAAAATTGCAGGAAATTGTATTAATGGAAACAGAAAAGGCTGTATTTTTTAAAAATGATGCATTGCAAGTTTCATGTGTGTGTAAGTATATTTAAAAAATAATAATGTTTAGTATTTACATACTAAAAAGATCATTTATACTATTATTTCTAATTCCATTATTATATCCAAAGCCATAAGGAATTACTGTCTTTGGATTGTTGTTGTTTTAAAGATTTTATTTTAAGCAATCTCTACACCCATCATGAGGCTTGAACTCACAGCCCCCAAGATCAAGAGTTGCATGCTCCACCGACTGAGCCAACCAGGCACTCCTATCTTTGGATGGTTTTTTAAAAACACTTCAACTAATGGCAGGAAGAATTATAAAAGAAAGGGTTTACTTGAGGGGCGCCTGGGTGGCGCAGTCGGATAAGCGTCCGACTTCAGCCAGTGCGATCACCGGCGATCATCAGTTTGAGCAGCGTCAGGCTCAGGCTGATGGCTCAAACCTGGAGCCTGTTTCGATTCTGTAGTCGTCCCTCTCCCTACCCCTTCCTCCCGTTTCATGCTCTGTCTCTCTCTGTCCAAAAATAATGTCATACGTTGAAAAAAAAAAATTAAAAAAAAAAAAAAAAAAAGAAAGGGTTTACTTGAGAGTAGTCCCTCTCAACCCCTCCTGTAAGAAAATTAAATTCCCCTAGGCATCCATTGTATGTTACGAGTTAACTTTTCTCCCTTGCATCTAGAATGGTACTAGCTCTATACAGCTTGGTAGATTACAGGAAAAGGTTAGTTGTATTCATAAATAATTTTGTGAGGAACGACTTGTTCTGTGGATCCAATTAGGAAGGATGGTTAGTGTATACTTTTCTTTTTTAATTTATTTATTTTGAGAGAGAGTGAGAGAGGGCATGAGCAGGGGAGGGACAGAGTGAGACACAGAATCTGAAACAGGCTCCAGGCTCTAAGCTGTCAGCACAGAGCCTAACTCAGGGCTCGAACCCATGAACTGTGAGATCATGACCTGAGCCAAAGTTGAACACTTAACTGACTGAGCCATCCAGGTGCCCCTAAGTTGTGTATACTTTAAAACATATTTTGCTATAAACCATATGACTATATTTAGTGGAAAAGTAAAATAAGGTCAGTGCTGATTCTTATCCATATTATTGAAGCAAGATTTCTAAGTCCTACTCAGCCTTATTCTAGGTATTACTTCTGCTTCCATTAATCAATGTCAGTAGTAAATTGATACTTTTGACAAGTAAAATTAATAATGATGTTGGTGATAGAAGATATTACTGTGTTAAGTACCTCCTATTACTTGCTCATTTAATTTTTTACCACAACACTATAAAGTAGGTATATTATTCTCTCAATTCTATAAAACAGCAAACTCAGGCCTTGGCAAGAAGAGAGAACTTGCCAAGGTCAAAAAGGTAGAAGTCACTGAGCTGTGATTTAAATTCTGTCAGTCTTGGCTTCAGAGCTCACATTGATAACCAGTTACAAATATTTTAAAATGTGTATCTCATAATTACTAACTGAAAGTGAAAATGTGGGTTTACTGAAAAGCATAAAATAGAAGGTCTCAATTTTTTAACAAGGGTCTTTTATTTTTAATAGGATTAACATTAATCTGAGATATTCTTAGTGGGTTCAACAAAGTAATTGAAAAAAGGAATAGTTGGGTTAAAGTTAATCTGTAGTTTATGCTTTACATTAATTCACATAGGACTTTCACATAGTAAATAGAAATTAGGGAGACTTTATCAATGTATTTTACATTGCATATAATTGTTTTACTAATAAATTCTGTGACTAAATAGCATTTTTCCTTTGTTAAGGATAAATGGGGAGGTTGAATAAATTCTAAATACAAGAAGAGACTTTGTAAAATTATTATGTAACTTTTTTCTTATTTTAGTAAATAATGCTATTTAATGCAATATTCATATAGAACTTGCCAAAAATAACTTCCTTTTCTTATCTAGAAGAAACATTGAGAACTATAGTTTTCAAAATGAGATTGATTTACAGATTTCATGTTTTTTCTCATATTGATAAATCCTATCAGGATTTATTGCCAAACTTTATAAAACAGAACCTTTAATACAAGTCATTAACAGTGTATTGAAATGAATTTATTAACCAAATTAAAGAATCAAGAGGGAAAAAGCTGATATTCATTATCCTAGAAGGATTGAAATGCAGGGTTGCCAAAAAACTTTTTTACATCATGGCTTTATGCTTGCTGAAACACAAGCATTATTTGTGTTTAGAACACAGATATGATTGACCTTCTCCTTTCTTGTTAGAAAGCAATTGAACTGAACCCAAAAGATGCTACCTCCATTCACCTTATGGGTATTTGGTAAGAAAATTTCTTAAGTAAATATTTCAGTCGTACTTAGTATGATCTTATTTTGTAGTATATGAAACAAGATGTAAAATATTTAAAAGTATTTGACATTCATGAGTATTTAGTTCATTATATTAACTAGCAGTTGTGATGTATTGTTAGAAAATACTAAATTTGATTGTAATTGTGTTAACCATTGTTGTTCAGATCACTTAGAAGTAAATACTAAGATGAAAAAGGCATTAAAACTTCTTGCTAGACTTTGAAATTCCTTTTGTTGGGAAAGATTATTTTTATCCAATGAAATTGGATTCATCTAATTATGTAGCAATACAGTTTGATGCTCTAAGAGAGTCTTTGCATCTTCAAAGTGTATAAAATACAGTCTGATTCATCTGAACAGCAATATAATTTTGACTTTTAGTATCTTTCTAAAAGAAAGATATTTATCCTTTCTTGAGACAGGTTTGCCATGTTTTCTTTGGGTGTAGTCTGCAGATCTGAATATTTTATTGTCTTCTTTTTGGTGTAAAAAACCTTGTATCAGACTCTTAAAGAGTTAAATATCCTTCAGGGCCATATTAAACTAACAAAACACTTTCTGAGGACTAATGATAATGGAGAGACAGTCACTAAGTCAGATGCTAGGGAGTAAACATGAATGAGATACAAGCCTACCTCAAGGATTTCAGACCATAGTCAGAGATCTAGTACTTTTTTCCCTACTTCTATCAGAAATTTGTCAAGATCTTTGGATGTTAATCATTTGCTTCACTCTTTCAAATAGGTAGGCTTAAGTTGTGTTTTGTCATTGTTATTTATGCATATCATGTTTGGTTTTGTCATTTTACTTTAATTAAAAATTTTTTTAATGTTTATTTTTGAGGGAGACAGATCGTGAGCAGGGGAGGGGCAGAGAGAAAGGGAGACAGAGAATCTGAACCTGACTCCAGGCTCTAAGCCATCAGCACAGAGTCCAATGTGGGGCTCGAACCCACGGACTGCAAGATCATGACCTGAGCCACTGAGCCACCCAGTCACCCCATGGTTTTGTCAATTTTTTAAAAACTTCTCTGAGTTAGTCCTTCTAATGCAAAAAATAGGGGTAATGATCCAAACTCATTTAGTCCTTGTAAGGAGTAGATGAGAGATAATCACCTAGCACCTGAAACAAAGTGAGCACTTAGTGATGAATGATATATGCTGTTATCATTACTAGTACTATCGCTAACTATATTAATCACTAAAATATACCTTAATTGATGGATCAATATAAACCAGTCTCTGGGTAATTTAGTAGGCATATTAACCTACTGGATATTATTATGTAAAGTACAAATTGTTTAAACGTACAACAGGAGAAGATACGTTTTATATGTAAAGATGCTTAGTTTTCTTAAGAGAAAAAAAAAGGTGAATTACAGATATATAGATGTTATTTTATTTCTCTATAGGTGTTATACATTTGCTGAAATGCCTTGGTATCAAAGAAGAATTGCTAAAATGCTGTTTGCAACTCCTCCTAGTTCCACCTATCAGGAGGTAGTGTGCTGTCCTTTATTAAGTTAGTACTGGTTTCCTAACTGCAGTGCCATTCTACAGTGTCCAGATCTGGAGCTCTGATCAGTGAGGCATTTGAGCACGTTTCTAACCATCCAATGCAACTATCTTATCACAAAGGCTTAATACTTATAATCTATGACTGGTGAGTGGTTTTTTTTCTTTAGGTGAGTGGCTGATGACTCTGGTATGTTGTTAGTTATAATAGCTCATGGCTAAAATTTATCATTTTCTATTTGAAACCTATATACCATATAAAAGTCATAAAATAGAACAAGAAATTCAACAGCCGCTGTTCAGCATGTTTTAGGTACGTGTTCTACACACTACAATTTACCTAGAGAAGAAAGTGTGCATTTGTATAGATAAAGAGTAATTGTAACTTTTTTTAAAAAGTGGGGTTGAAAGGTTCATACTCTTATATTTTCAAGGCCTTTTGCTTCCTTGTTAAAAATAAAATTTGAAAGGGATTTCTGGGCAAATATTTTGAGTTAACATCACTAAAATTTTCAGAGTAAGGAGATAAGGCCATTGAAAAAGCTTCCATAATACCTATACCATAACAAGGAGCTATGTTTTTCTTCTGGGAAATAATATTGTAGAATTTGATGTAAAAATATTTAGTTGAAAAATTAGAACACAGTGGGGAAATACTGCTATTAAAAAGAATATATTCTAAGAAAATACTGTCAGCTCTACTATAACAAGTTAGTTATGTTTCTAAGAAATCAGTTAATACATTATAAAAACAGTCGAAGTGGAACAAAAAGAACTAAGAGTCTCAGATTCATAATAGCATTTTATGTTGGAATTTCAGTAATAAAGGAGTTTTAAAAATTTATTGGTACAACCTATATACCACTGAGTAAATTTAGCTTTTGATTTTATCAAGTTTTTACTAGTAGTGACTATTATGATTTAAGAAGAGAAAGATCAGAATAGCTTTGTTGCATATGATGATGTTCTTTCCTCTCTGCACTTGATGCTTGGTTGGTACAAGTTCTGAACAGCAATCAAGTTATTACTTGAAGTGGTCCATATACCGTAATCTGTGCTCCGATGATTTAATAATATGTTCAATTTTGCTGTGTTAACTCTGTCAATGAATTGGACTTTAAGATATCTTAATTTACTTCCTGACTTCTGAACAAAAGTTTTTTTTAATATTGATTTTGTTATAACCCTTTTCATTATGTTTGGGTTGTGTTTTTAACAGGCCTTAGGCTACTTTCACAGGGCAGAGCAAGGTAACATTTTTAATTTCACATACTAATACAGTTAAAATCGTATGAATGCTTTATATAGAATAGAAATTTTTATTTAATATCCTCATTTTTTAAATGTTTATTTTTGAGAGAGAGAAAGAGAGTACGAGCCAGGGAGGGGCAGAGAGAGGGAGACACAGAATCTGAAGCAGGCTCCAGGCTCTGAGCTGTCAGCACAGAGCCCGCTGTAGGGCACAAACTCATGAACCATGAGATCGTGACCTGAGCTGAAGTTGGACACTTAACTGACTGAGCCACCCCTATAATAGAAATTTTTAAAATAAAATATTACTTATTCTGATCTACTTCTTTTTGCAGTAGACATTATCAAATATTTGTTAGTCTTTATTCAGTGGATCACCTGAGTAAGAAGTAGGTTGCTGCTGAATTTAGAGCTACAGTTCTGGAATGGTCCTTTATTTGATGTAATTCAACCTTCCTTTTGAGAGGAGGCTTTGACATGTTAACTGTCTTATTCAAGATTATACAGCGGATTAGGAACATTTATTATGTATTTAAATGTTTAAAATTTTTTTATTGAGACATAATTGACATACTACATTATGTTAGTTTCAGGTGTACAGCGTAAGGATTCAATACTTGTATATGTTGTAAATGATTACAATAAGTCTAGTTAATGACTACCACATTTAAAAAAAAAATTTTCTAAGATTTACTCTTTTAGCAACTTTCAAATAGCACTTAAATAAGACGTCTTGTTTTTAAACCAGGCCAGTTTTTGTTTTGTTACAGATATTGTCTTCTTTTGTGAAGAGTTTCATGTCACTCTTGCTTTGAAGAAATGGCCAGCCCTACAAAACTGACACCAGCCCATCCTAAGTTCTTCCTTTTTAAATTTAATAGCACAAACTAGAAAAGTAAAGGACATAAGCATATGTTACCAAATACACCCAAGAAACCACTGTAATTTTATTTCTATAAAATTAATCAGAAGAATATTAAAGACTATATTAGAGAGCCTACTTATATGGACTTGTTCAAATGCTTTTCTGCTAGCAAAGCATTTAAAAAAAAACATTTCTTATAAAGAATTGAGTCTGCATGTTAAACTGTCAGTAATATATTCTGATATGCTCTATTACTATCTTTCACTGATAACCTGTTATGGTGGTAGTTCTATAGATCATGAATATGAATTTGGGAATAAAATTTCCTCAGAGGGATTTAGAAGCATAATTGCCAAATAAAACCTGGAGCCTTAAAGGAATAAGGGTTTGGGGTGTTGAGAAAAAAGCATGGTCATGTCTTACAGAGCTAAAAAAAATCCTCAATAATTATAGTCATCTCCAGGTTTTACTCTAGGTCAGTTCACTCCAGGTCAGTTCTCCTGAGCAACCTTTCTTTAAGGACCATATCTGGTTTAGAAGCTCCTCCTAGGCTCCCATTACCTGTTACTTCTCCCATCATATAGTAGACACTGAATGAATGATACTTAACCAGCATTTTTCTGAGATAGGAATAGTTGAACAAAAGAGAATTCGAGTTAGCCTAATCTTTTATTGACCACAGAAATTTATTATTGGAATTTAGACTGAAAAAATTAAGCCTCTACAAGTATGTCATCTGAAATAAATTTTTCTTTCTTCTGTACAGTGGATCCAAACTTCTACAGCAAAAACTTGCTTCTTTTAGGAAAGACCTATTTGAAGTTACACAACAAAAAGCTTGCTGCCTTCTGGCTAATGAAAGCCAAGGACTATCCAGCACACACAGAGGAGGATAAACAGGTAACACATCTCCAGTAAATTAAGGCAGATAGGTTTCTATTGAGGCACTATTAAACGTGAAGTAAGAACTTCTTTAAAAACTATCTAAATGCACATTGTTGAAAACAAGAGTATTCATTTCAAATGTGAGTTCATTAACATTTCCATTAATTTCTGTATGCAAATGTTTAGTTACTATTAACAGATGTTATGAGTTACTTGCTGCCTTATTCCTGTTTGACATACATGACAGATCAAATAAGATTTCTAAAACAAAAGGCAACGGATGTGTATTAACATGGAAGAGTCTTACCCAGTCACTGTTAAATTTTATTTTTACAATGTGCTATCCTGGTTATTGTGAACTCTTAGAAACAAACCAGAGCCCACTTTATGAACTTAGATTTCACAAGTTGATATCTATGCTGTGCTGTTTATTTATAACGTGTATTTTTCCATTTTAGATACAGACAGAAGCTGCTCAGTTGCTTACAGGTTTCAGTGACCAGAAATGAGAATTTGTCAGAGAAGAAAGTACATGAAGTATCTAAGAAACACTGCCTTTTCATCACATTACAAAGATAATACATAAATAATATATAAACCATAAATGTGTTCTATGGCTGTTTTCTCAGTTTCTTTAATGTAACCATTTAACAAATTTAAATATACAAAATCTTAAGTTTCTTCACAGGTAACAAGGCAAAAGAAATAATTGCCATAAGAGTGGTAAGGACATCTCCCTGGCTCAGAGGCAGAGATATTGTGCACTTAGGACACCAACAATACAAAGTGGTATAAGACTTCTAAGGGAGGATGGATCACATCAGAATGGGACATCAATAAAAGAAAGTTTTGTTTAAGAGGTGGCATTGGGGGAATGCATTGTCAAGTTGGACTGATGCAAAGTTGAGATCTTGCAGAGAAGGTGCAGTGAAAATTAGGAGGTTAGGATGTTGAGGGTTCTTGGTATAAAGTAGTTAAGTGATGGATCTTGGAACCAACCTGCATAAGGAAAAAACTCAAGTCAGGAGAGGACGGAAAATGGGAGTGGTTTCTTCTTTTAATGTGACATAGACCCTCAAGTGGAGGACTGATTTTTGTCACTAGACAAAACCCAAATTCTATTTTCTAATGTGAAAGGAACGCAGAACTCAAGGGTGAAATAGAAATGAAGATGTTTTAAATTTTTTTTTTTTTTTAACATTTATTTATTTTTGAGACAGAGAGAGACAGAGCATGAACGGGGGGAGGGCCAGAGACAGAGGGAGACACAGAATCTGAAGCAGGCTCCAGGCTCTGAGCTGTCAGCACAGAGCCTGATGCGGGGCTCGAACTCACGGACCGTGAGATCGTGACCTGAGCGAAGTCGGACGCTCAACCGACTGAGCCACCCAGGCGCCCCGAAATGAAGATGTTTTAAATAGGACAGTACTACTTGAGGCTGGGATGCCCCCACTGCAGAACTGTTTTATAAAAAGGATAATCTTGAATGTCACTTAGATAAACCAAAGTATGTGTAGAGGTGGGTTTTCCTCCAAAGGATTTGGGAATTGTATTGTTAAAGTAAACTCTATTGGTAGGGGCTGTTTCTGTGTTATCCTCGATAAAACCAGGATGTGTATGTATGTTCGAACTTGAAAACTTCATCTCCAGTTGCTAATCTTTTGCTATGTTTTACTTACATGTGTATATATTCACATATTTATATATACATATTTCTGAAGTTTTGGAATTGTAGATAACATATTTCGTCCCTAGATAGTTCAGCATGCGTTTTCTTAGAATAAGGACATCCTTTAAACAAAAACCCATTATCACAATAAAAAGTTAACAGTAATTCTTTTAACATCTAATATCCAGCTATTTTCAGATTTTCTCAAATGTCCCAGAATGTCTTACACTTTTAAAAATCCAGAACAGTTCTCCCATCTTTTTTTTTTCCTCACATCATTCATTGGCTTTTTGAAGAGGACGGTCCAGTTATCTTCAATTGTCCCTTATTCAAGATTTATCTTACCACACTTTGAGAACCACTTTTCCATCTTTTTTCCAGTGATTTTAATTATATGTTAGATCTTCTTTGCCTAATTTTTTAAACTTCTCTGATTTTTTTTTTTCTTTCATTTTCTTGTCTGTTTGAGTTTGTTCCTCCCATGTTCCTTATTTCCTCCAGGTCTCGTTTTCTTCCTCGGATACATTCCTTCCGAGATGTTTGTCTTTCTCTTGTTTTTTTTTTTTTTTTTTTTTTTTTTTTTTTCTGATTCCAGTCAGCAGGCATTTCATGTTTTCATGTAGTTTGTCCAGTTCTTTTTGAATTTCTAATTTGAATTTTTTTGTTTCTATAGTTTATATTTAACTCATATCAGTATAGTGTGTTAAAGAATTGTTTTCAGCATTTTCATCTGAAAATTTCTCATTTTTAATTTTCTCATTAGAGGGACTTTTAATATTTTCTGAAGCTGTGATTTGTGTGTGTGTGTGTGTGTGTGTGTAGTTACCAGCCATACCAACTAATCAAATGGGAAGTGAGGGGTTTTGAATCGTTCAAGGATAACTTCTGGTAAGTAGTTTTTGTGAAATTCAGTGAGAGAGCCTTTGGCGGGGGGAGGGGGAGTCATCTGTTATTTTTTAGCGCTATTAAATTTTTGCTTTGAAATCATAGATTCATAGGGAGTTGAGCGGGAAAAGTACAGCAGTCCCAGAGGTAACATAGAACTATAGTACAATATCAAAACCAGGAAATGGGTATAGCCCACAGACCTGATTCAGATTTTACTTCTAAATGCTCTCACGTGTGTGTGTTCTATGTAATTACGTCACATGTAGATATTTAGCTGACACTACAATCAAGCTATACAACTGTTCCACCAAGTCACAAAAAACTCTAGTGCTATCCTTTTATGGTCACACCCATCCACCTTCCCTCCCTACCACCATCCCTAATCCTGGTAACCACTAATCTCTCCTTTATAATTTTGTCTTCAAGAGTGTCATAAAATGGAATCATAGTGTATGTGACCTTTTGAGAATTGGTTTTTTTCATTTGACCTAATTCCTTTAAGATCTAAATCTAGTCAGTGGTTGATTCCTTTGCACTGTTGATTCTATTTCACTGTATTTAGTGTACCTGTTTAACCATTCACTGAAGAGTATTTAGGCTGTTTCCAATCTTTGGCTCCTATGAACATTAGGTACAAGTTATATCCATACCCAGGAGTGTGTGGTTGCTGGGTCTAATTTATAGAGCTATTATCTTCCTTCTAATAATAAGGGATAAGCTCACTTCTCCAAGATGTGGTATGGCTCTTAAGATTCTGATTTATGTGCACTTTGTCTCTACTTTTTGACTTTCCAGGAGTTTGATTCACCAGGTTTTACAGTGGTTCTTGGCATTTCCTCACCCACAGTGAGACCTACTACTTTTGGGAAAAAACCCTAGGACCCCATTTATTCTTCTTCCTGTGCAGTCCCCACTTAACTGTTCTTGTGTATGTTCCAGACGTGATTGCTAGTTTGAGATGCTGATTTCCTCACACGCATGTGGACAGATGTTTGCAGTATTCTTGACATATTATAGACATGGGTTGTTGGTGATTATAATTACCTCTTCTTGTGGGTATCCTAATTTCGTTCTTTTGAGGATTGAGAATAAATATGGATTTGAAAAGTGGCTACTCTATAAAAAATCTGAAAGCTCTGTTAACTTGTTAGCAAAATTTTCCCGAGTGTTTAATCACAGACTGAACTAGCTATGGACTTTGTAAAAATGACTTCTTTCAGATGCACTTTCTTACCTATAAGCATCACCACAACAAAGAAAAAGCAGACACACCAACCTTAGGGAGTTGTGACGATGAAAGAGAACATGTAAAGGATTTATCAGTAAATATTAAAAAAAATTTTTTGTTTATTCTTGAGACAGAGTGAACAGGGGAGGGGCAGAGAGAGAGGGAGACACAGAATCTGAAACAGGCTCCAGGCTCTGAGCTGTCAGCACAGAGCCCGACGCAGGGCTCAAACCCATGAACTGTGAGATCATGACCTGAGCCGAAGTCAGACGCTTAACCGACTGAGCCACCCAGGCGCCCCAATCAGTAAATATTTTTAAATGGTATTATCTGAGTTCTTGGTTGAGATTAGGAAGAGAAATTTTGGAATTTAGGAGATCCCACTTTTTGATGTGTTTTTGGTACTACATTATTTGGGAGGGTATTGTTTTGCTTTCATGTGACATTCACCGTAAAATTTATTTTGGACTATGTGCCAGAACACTGTTGGGAAGAAAAAATAGGGGTGGATTACTTTGTCAAGGGCCATGACACCATTTGAATGAATGCCCTGTTCTGGTCCATTGCACTGCCCTCTGAGAGCAGTGAACAGTGTGTTTTATCCTGTGACTGAGGAGAATACACTTGGTACAGAAGAGCCTTCGTGAGCTGCTCTGATATGGTCCGGGCTTTTCCCTTGAGATGTCCAAATCCCCAGTTAATATCTTAAGTTTGGCTTTTAAGATCAATGGATTAAGAAAACTGGGAGTGTTATAAGACCTTTGTTCTCTCATCTACATATTTCAACGAGAAGATTTTTTTACTTCTGCAGGTTCACCAGGGGATCTTCTTAGGTTAAACCAAACCCTCAGACTCAAAGTCTGCAAAAGGCTTCATGTGGCACCAGTTTACTCAGAAAGCTGTAAGGATAGGAACCACAGCTAGCCAGAAAGTCAATGTCAGGACTCCTTACATTTCAGAAAATGACCTTACAGCAGCATCAAGTATCTGGAGATTTCCCAGTCCAGATGCAACTTACCAGTCAGGGGTCATTTTTAACAAAAGCAAAATTGCCTAGTGGTATTTTGACACATACCACCCTATCTAGTTTTGAAGAGAAAAGGTGGGTGGTTAACTGAAGGCTGCAAGGCGCAAAAGGTTTATTAATAACTCTCTGAGCTTAAACTGCCTAGGAAGCACTAAAACCAAAATACCCTTGTAGCTGCTCTCCTTGGAAGATAGCTAATCTGATTGATGAAACTATTGTTCCTGTGATCCGTTCACTGGGCTCAGTTTGGTGGTGCCGTTAAGTTCTGCTGAAATGAAATAACTATGAATCTGTCTCTGAGCCTCATTGTTTTTGCCTGTTTTTTCATTTCAGGCATAGTGAGCCTGTCTAGTGCAGCACAGGACCAGGATGGGAAGACAGGGGAAAAGGTGAGAGATGGCTACATCTTTGGTTTCTCTCACTGCCACTGAGTATATAAATCAAGACATAATAAATCCTGCCTGTAGGCCTGGATTTCTGCAATTGGGTATGAAAGGTAGAAGGCCCTAATAAGTTCTCCCAAATACCTTTTTTCAGAAAGCTGGTTTGGTCTGTGGGTTCTGTGTAGCGTCATCTAATTTCTTACCTGAAGAAAGGATAGAGGTTCAGCACCCTGAAAGCCTGTCTTCAGTCAAATCTGCTAATTGTATTCTCACATACCTCCACTGAATGATGTTCGAGAACTTCTGTCACGGCAAAATTCATTCAGCAGTGGTGCTTTCTATGGTGTAACTTAGCCCTTTTGAAGATTGGTCACCCTCTGTCACATAATGCCATATACATTAGCATTTGTTTTTAATTCTTTATGCTTCAAAATAGCCAGTGTCAGACTAGGATTTGGGAAAGGAGTCTATTCAACATAGTGGATCACTGCCTTTATTTCATCTTTACTATGAACTCTGAAGTGCAGAACACAATCTAATATGTAGAAAAATAAAATTTTGGCAAAACAAAAACTGTTTAGGGAAATTAAATTGTATAGTATTTTCCGTATGTACTTAGCAGTTAAATATGTTACACATAACATTGTAAGATGTCCGTTCTGTCGTTATAAAAAACTGAATGAAATTTACACTGCATATTGAAATGATACAAATGGAAATTAAAATTTCTGTATTAGTAAGGAAGCCCAGTTTGCTAAAATAGCATTAATATCATTCACATCAGATTTTAATTTGTTATACATCTTTGTAGTTCAGCAAATGCCCTTGATAATGAAAAATTAAAAAGTTATTAGGACAAAAATAATGATCTGTGTAAAAAGGGGGGTGGGGAACCAAAAGATTTTTTAATATGCTTATATAATTCAGATAAAATTTTCATGAATTTAAGAGGAATGAAGATATTCGAACACTAATAGAAAATAGACTCATTTGAGTGTTCAAATGCTTACACAACTCTTCAGTCCATCCAGTTTTATAAAACCAAAACTTTGAACACAAAAGCAAAATTGTTCACATTACCTTATTATATGTTCCTAAGTATCAAACCGCATCAATTTATTATGAGTTAAATTTAAAGAACATCACAGATTTAAAAACAAAAGTACATAAGTACCTGATTCTTTTTAACTCCACAAATACCTAGCATCCCAAAGTAACATGTAAACAAACCTCTTTGCTGCCTAATGAATTCTTTCCAATCTCTAGAATAAACTAAATGGCTTTGGATCTAGTATGTGCCTTACATTTAAGTTAGGGTTTCATTCATTACTATGTATTAGTGATATAGCAAAGAGGGAAATTTTTCAACTATTGTACTTATTTAAAACAAATTGACAGGTTCAATTGCCTGTCTTCAGAAAAGCCAGCAGCATTTTTTTTTTTAACATACTCAAAGTAAGATTTGGCCTAAGCCCTTAATACCTTCCTGAACAGCCATGCAACTAAACACCCTCAGGAGGTGTTAAGTAAGGGAGAAGATCATGAAGCAATTTGTACTTTTTTCTCTGGATAATAGAAACAAGGTAAAGCAAATCCAGATTATTTTTGAATGAACGGCTGTCATGTTTAATATACCCAGAGCTCTATAAAACTAGAGCCATTATCATATATGCTTATATAGATATATACTTTTTTTTTAATAAAGTCTCTTGCTTGCTTCAAAATTTAAGGATGATCTTTTTCCTAGTCAGTCACTTCAAGGGAACAATAAATAAAGTAGAAAAGGATGAACTGTTTTGCATATTTCTGTGGAAGAACGGAAAACATTTATACTTTGAGAGGTTCAGAAAATTCACTGTACAGAATGAACAGCTTATATACACTATCTGTGCAATTTTTCTTGGCTGGGGTATTTAAATGCAAGAGCTCCTCCAAGACAAGAAGCCACATTCATTCTTGTCCAAATCCCTCTGTCTCTTCTATTGCAAAAAGAAGTTTTTCCTTTAGTTGTTCATAACTCTTATATGGTGGTAGATCCAAGCGATTAAAACTGAACAAAAACAAAAACAGATGTGTTTTTAATAAAACAAACTCTGAAAAGATTTCTAATACAATATTGTTTAAAGCACATTTGACAAACTAAATGGATAGAGGAGATCTAAAAATTTTGCCAGAGGTATTCTAACAATTTACTATTATATTAACACAGATTTTTTACTCATAAAAATATTTTAACATTTCCCAGAAAAAACTGACATTGCAAGTTGTCATAAGTCCCTCTAACTTCTCTTCGGTTTTTAAGTCCATTTATTTCATTCACTTACCAGTTATTAAGAATCTACTATATTTCAGATATTTGTCCAGGAGCTGGTGATAGAATGATAAAAAACTAAGTTCCTATCCTTGTGGAACTTATATTTCGGGGCGGGGGAGGGAAGCCAGTAAACAAATACATACTTCAGTGCTTCCATTCCTGCCATACTTAAAAGAATTCGCTGCTCTGTTTAGCTGAATTAAGATTGGGGTGGAGGGAGGGTCTAGGGTTTTAGTTTCCCCTCTATCTAGTGAAACAGCTCTAATGTAGGTAAAACCATTCTGTATTTTCATTTTCTCACATGGAAGATTTCTATAGATTATCTAGGTTCCCTCCTATACTCTCCCTCTGCCCTTGTCTCCACTCCTGCTTAAGAGTCAGGAAACTTAATAATCAAGAGCCTTTTGAGTTTCTGAAACAAGGCAGCCAATTAAAATGGCCTGAGAACACCATTTTATTCTCTTTGTATGAAAAGTTAAATCTATTAACGGTAGCAATTAAGCAGACCATGTACCTTCTCTCCCCCATGCCCCCGTCACACTGATAGCTGAAGTCAATAAAAAATTTTTCAATACAGTCCTATATTAAGACAACCAGTCACTTTCTAATTCTTACATCTTTCAAATATAGCCTTTGCCAAATTCTTTCTCTTTACTGAATCTCTGTATCTCTTCCATCCAGATCGTTTGTGTTGGCAACTGCACTCTTGTGTGTCTCTACTTCCCCAACATCTCTTATATGGACCATCAAAATTTCCTGTCTACTGATCTTGCATCCATTTTTTTCCTGACTTCTCCACAACCCATCTAGCCTTATTACATCACTGCCAGAGGTCCTTTCATAAAAAAGACTTGCCAGTTTAAAAAACCTTTGTTGTGCTATTCTAAAATTGGAACTATACAGAGGTTAGCATGGCCCCTGCACAAGAATGACAACACAAATTCATGGAGTCTTCCATTACAAAAACAAAAAAAAAAACCTCTTAATTTTCTAATTACTATGGATTGAAGGTATGGGGGAAGGAAGCTGTTTGGTATAGCCCCCCATCAATTAATTTAATGTTTTCCCAAAATATCACATGCTTTTCTGTTTCACAACATGCTCTTATGGCTCTCTCACGATTGGGAATACCTTTTTCCCCGATATGAAAGTATTAATTCACTAAGAAGCAGTCCAAATGCTAAAACTTCCTCCAAGAATTCTCCTTGAGCATCTTATACAGACTTAACAATTCTCCTCTCCATAAGCTCTTTTTATTTTGCTTTTAGCATTTTCTTTGCTCTGTATTATGACTGACTAGTTTCTTCCATTATGTTCTAACACCCATGAGGGGCAGTCATCCCTACTCTTTTAACACTTATCCATTTCATTTAGTAAATGTTGAGTTAACTACATAAGAAAGTACATTACTTGAAAACATCCGAAACAGGGTTCTATTTTAAGACACCAGCCAAAGGACAGAGACACACCAAAATCTCTTCATCTTAGAGAGTACTTACTATATAGATATCAGAATACTGTTTTAGTTTAGCTTTTGTTTTAGTTCCAGCTGAGTCAAATTTGATACTTCTACTTAACCTATAAAAATGGAAGACCCTACCAATACTTTTGCAATGGACTGTTGGTTTTCTATACCAGTGTATACAGCCTCTGCTCTGAAAGTGGCCACCTCAATAAGCAAAGCATTGGAGAGGACAGCAGAACTCATTCCGAGAATTATCAAGACTTCCGCCATAGATCATAGCAGTGTTTACCTTTGTCACTACTAAACTCTGGTGTCTCGGGATCTATGTTCATACAAATTCTCATCCCAATACTGTTAACTGTATTCCACTGATCTGAATTAAATCCTCACCTTTTCCCTTTCTTCCAGCTCAGATCTCCATTCCTCTGAACTGTTTTATGATTTGCAGTTTTCTAAGGTCTTAATAACTTGCCTTAACTAAAAACCCAGCTAGTCTGAAACATAACCATTTCCCTGCAGCCAAGCAGTAAAACTTCCCTCCTGTGAGGCACATACAATCTAGCTATGCAACCTTTTCCTGAACTTTTGGCTACCCTCTGTGGACCTCTTGGTCATATTCCTTTCATTCACTGAAAGTTCTGGCACCTGGGTTCATGGTTGTCCTCTCATTCACTTGATGATACGCAACACCCATGCATGACCTCCCAAGTTCTCATCTTCAGTGACCTGTTCCTCTCATTTACTGACTTTAGGATAACATACCTTGAACCTTGTCATCACCAGCAGGAAATTTCTAATTAAAAAAATTCCACTTTTTTTTTTTTTTTTTTTTTGAGTGCACAAGCACAAGGTGTGGGGGCAGAGGGAGAGGGAGAGAATCTCAAGCTGACTCCATGCCCAGCACAGTCTGACACAGGGCTTGATCCCATGACTGAGATCATGACCTGTGCCAAAATCGAGTCAGATGTTCAACCAACCGAGCCACCCTCAAAAACTCAATTCTGTCTTTCCAGCTTCCTTCAATTAAAATGCTAACCCATTAATCCATTACTTTGTCACCATCCTAGCTGTCCACAGACTCTTCCCGTCCTTATTTTGTACTTAAGCTACAGACCATCCTTATATCCACTACCTTGCAAGTACTTTCAAATCCCCGTCTCTTCCCCCTTTTGAACTTAACTAATCAAAACTCAAACTGAATGAATTCAGCCTTCTAGTTTTCACTCCTTGGACCTAACAGCTGAAAATTCCTGGAGGGGAGAATCCTACAACTAGACAGATTGGTGTCACTTTAGATCCAAGTAGGCAATCCAATATCACACATCATTCTCAGCCTTATTTCTCTAGTAGATACTTGTCTGCTCTGACAACTCTCATTCTCCTCAGAGTTTTTTTACTTTCTTCATTCTTAGTGACCTCACTTCATACTTTGAATAAACAGAAACCAACAGTGATAATTACAGCTTACATCCAACATTTCTTCCTCTCCTATTACAACAAAGGAAGTATTCCTGTTTTATCAAAGGCTAATTCCTTAACCTTTACTCAGCATCTCAATTCTTTTCATCTTTCTTTGGTTCTGAACTCTCTCCTCTACCTCAACAATCTCTCCTTTACTGGATTCAACAATTTAATCTAGGCTGGTGTCCTCAAATTTTTTTGGTTATGATCCTTTTCACACTTTAAAATATTGCAAATTCCCACGAGCTCTGTTTATGTGAATTATGTTTATTGATAAAAATGACTATTTTCAAAAAAAAATGGTAAAAAAAGTGACCCTGTTATATATTTTTGCAAATCTTGATGTCTAGCCTAATAGAAGACAACTGATTTCTGATATTTATATGTGCATTTATTTTGTTGCATTATATTAAGTACAGTATATGAAAATTTGCCCCCACACAGATATGTGGTTAGAAAACAGAGATGTACTCTAGTTTTTTCAGGCCATTGTGGCTATTATTCTTGACTATTGTACTAAATAAATTTGGCAATATTATACATAATATGGGTTCTGAAATCATACCAAAGAACTTTTTCTACTCTGTTATGTAAAACCCATTGGTTTATCTTGTACTCTGAATGGCTCTTTTTACCCATGCATGATTTTATAACATCATGCATTGGTCATTTGGAAACAGTGATTCACCAAGTTATAAAGTATTTCTAAATGTTGACACATTAAATTACATGATAGAAAAAAAATCTCATTTTTAATAATACCACCAATCTCATCAGAAAGTCTTGGGAAGGCTTTCAAGCTCATGATGGTATAAACAAGTTCTCCCAAATTCTAATTTTTGCCTGAAACCTCAACTTTTATCATTGCCAACAAATGCTGTCAGTTGTTTCCCTTGAAGTGATAAGCTTCCTTCGTTACTTTTCAAGAAAATGTCTGCCGAATACACGTCTGAATAAACAGTTTGTCAGTCACTCTCTCAAATAAAAACGGTGTTCCATCAAAAAGAGCAAGCTGGTTCAGCTTTCAACTCAACTGCCAAAGAGCCTCCCCTCAAGACAACCACAATTCTCTGGTGTGAATAAGAAGTGCTTTATGCAGGCTTCTCATTTTGTCATACAGAATATTAAAGAGATACATACTCAAGCATCAAGATTTAGTATATGTGTGTGTGTGTGTGTGTGTGTGTGTGTGTGTATACCTATATATTTATACACACACACATGTATATTTTACTGCTTCATAAAGAACAATCTTGAAAGAGATTTTTTTTTTTTTTGCTTTTTGCTTTCTGCTTTAAACTGCAGGTATGTGATGTTGAACAATGGAGACAGCATTTTGGTGCCACGGCGCTGATTTGTGCTGAGGCACTAGTTTTATCTACCATTGCTTCTGCACCATAAATGCAAGTGTCAAAACAATAAAAAGGCAAATAACTGCTCAGTAGGAAAATAGTTCTCGCCTCCTAAAAGAACCATGTACCTCCTAAATTATCCTCCTCTTTTCCCTGGATGACTAAAACAGTTCTGTTAACTAATCTCCCTGCGTTTGGTCTTGAATCCAGTTCCTCCTCTGTTGCCAGAGTGATTTTTCCTGAATCTCATTAGCTGCTATTTAAAACTTTTCAAAGGTTTCTCACTACCCTTAGATTGAAATCCAAGTGACTTGTAACAGCCTACAAGGTTCTACATAATTTAGCCCTGCCTAAATTTCCAAATTCTTTTTATCCCTGTCTCCCCTCATTCACTAAGTTCCAATGACACCAGTTATCATTCATTTCCTTGAAAAATTATTTCTTACTACAAGGTCTTTGGAAATGTCCCTGTACAAAGAATGTGCTTTTTCCGTTTCTTCCCGCAGCATGCTATTTATCCAACTCAAACATTATGCTGAGAATCTCCCTGACCACACAACCTAGAAGAGGTTCCCTCTGGTTCTTATCTACAGCACCCTCTTTATTTCCTTTGAAGGACTTTCCTAGAATTCAAATAGCTTACTTGTTTGTCATTTGTGCTCCCTCCCCCAGGGGAGTGCAAACTTCATAAAAGGCAGGAAGCACTTCAATCGTATATTATACATAGTGGTTACTCTAAATAACTGGTGAATCACTAGATATATTTCTCAGTATATTAACCAAACAGAAATCATTTCAAAGGGTTTAGTTACAGAATGCCGTATTAATCAGTATGTTCTAAAAATTGAAATTCTGGCTACGTTAATGAATAAGCACTAATACTGGGTCTTATGTATTTTAAAAAAAAACAAAACATTCTCTGACTTTCACCTTTCAATTTAGGATTCTTGAACTTACCACGTGTGGCTTCTTGGTAACCAGGTGTCTTTGCCAACTTTTTCAATACAAAATTTTTGAGGCCCATTACTTCCTAAATCAAGAAAACAAGACAAAATTTATCTGGTCCTTTAAACTTTTTGGTTTTGACAACTAGTTAAATGACTGAACATGTCACATTATCATGAATGACACAGAATACAATGTAAATCGCTTCTGCCTAGAGAAGCTTCTTATTGCTGCAGAAATTCAGCAACAGGAATTAAATTAGTGGAAAGAGACGTAGCTCTAAAGAATTTTGCTCCTTCACAATCACCCTAAAGAGCAAAGCAATGGCCAACCAGACTATGTAAGCAGACTTTCATTGGCTTACAAATGTACTTGATAGTAACCATTAAGTAGTCTTCTGGCAAATACCCTACAGAAAGCACAGAAGAATAATCCTTAGATTCAAGTCTACTGTATGTCTAAAGGCCATTATCATCATAAAGTTAGCTACAGAGAAACTGCAGAAAAACTGCATTTACCCATAAGCTCGGCAAATCCTCCTAGAGGCAAACGGCAGGTTCCAGTGACAAACTGTAATAGTCGCATCCTTACTTCATTGTCTGTCTCTTTCACAAACTGTGTAACAAAATCAAATTTACTTTAATATAAAATACTAAATTATCTTCAGTAATTAAAATAGTAGACACTTAAATTGTTCTTAAATTTCTTCAAGAATTATTAAGGTTAGGCACATGTTAAATATACCAGCGATCTTACTTCAGTTAATCCTCACAATTACAACACTGATTGTCCATCAATATTATTACATCCATCATACAGACAGGAAACGGGAGGCTTATAAATGTCAAACCACTAAAAGGTAACCAGGACAGATGTTGTTTGTTTGGCTACAATATCACAGCTAGCACCTAGTTAGGGCTCCTGCCTACCTCTGTGCTATATGCTTTTTGTGTGTTTAGCCCTTATAACAGTCGCCATTCTCAATAGTTTGATCTGTTTTCTCCTACTAGATACTATTTACACAACTCTTTGGATTCTTCATACTTGAAAACTACAAGGATGCATTTTGTTAAAAATATTTAGTTCATTTACTATCTTTTCAAAGACAGACATAAATGTGTAATGTGGTGCAATACTGATTTGAATTGATCTGATTGTCTTGTAATAGAAGGCAAGTCAACTTTTGGAGCAGTCTAAGAGTAGAAATGTATCCTAAAAATAAAATTTATAAAAAGTAAACAAGAATATACATTACCTAAGGATGAGACAAAAAGTGCTAATAATGACCAAAAACACTTCTGCATAAAACTGTGTTGAGGTACACATTTCATCAAGACACAAACAGCTCATTACCACGTCTGGCATAAACCAACCCTTTCCCTAAAACAAACTCAATTCGCAAAACACAACTACTCATTTGGATTTATAGGACCTCAAGCTGAAGCTTCTCAGGTATACAGATACAAATGTCCAAAGGAAAAGTCAGGGAACTTCATGTTCTTAGTAGTCCCTGACTAGTAAGGAAGCTAGTAAAGACCCTAAAAAGGAAGACTGCAGACACCTGCATACATTCTGTATGTGATGCAATTCAGATATTTTAGGCTTGAAAATGGGTTTATTCCCTTTTGATTTTTTATTCATTTATTTATTTCTTCTAAGCTCTGTGCCCAGTGTGGAGCTTGAACTCCTGACCCTGAGGATCAAGAATCACATGCTCTATGACTGAGCGAGCCAGGTGGCCCTTGTTTAGTTTTTATAAATGGTAATAGATATACACAGCACCCAGTACAGAACTGAAAGGTAGTAAAAGGTACAGCATCAAGAACAGCTTTCACACCTTGCTGCCAGTTTTCTCTACCTTTTTTCAAAGACGCTATATTCATATACAGTTGACCACTGAACAATGCAGCAGTTAGAGGTGCGGATACCCCATGTAGTTGAAATTTTGGGAAAATCCACATTCAAATTTTGATTCCTCAAAACTTAATAGATTATTGTTGACCAGAAGCCTTACTGATAACCAATTAACACATATATTTGTATATATATCATATACTTAATTTTTGTAATAAAAGAAGCTACAGAAACATTTACAGTACTGTGCTATAAAAAATTTGCACAGAAGCAGACTAGCACAACTCAAACCCTTTATTGTTCAAGGGTCAGCTGTACCAACATACACTTTGAATATACAGAATGTAAATTTTCCTTTTAACCAAATAGCACATTATATACACAGGTTCCTTTCCCCTTCAAAACTACTGAAACATATTTTCCAATATTTTTATTAATTTGCATTAAAAGAAGTGAAAGAATGCTAGGGTGCCTGGATGGCTCAGTCAGTTGGGCATCCGACTTCGGCTCAGGTCATGATCTCAGTCTGTGGGTTCAAGCCCCACATCGGATCTGTGCTGACAGCTTAGAGCCTGGAGCCTGCTACGGATTCTGTGTCTCCCTCTTTCCCTAACCCTCCCCTGCTTGCTCTCTCTCTCTCTCTCTCTCAAAAATAAGCAAATTAAAAAAAAAAAAGTAAAAGAATGATTACAAGGTACAGAATTACAGAGCAGATATATCATAATTTATTTACTTAGTACCCTCCCAACAGACATTTAGGTGTTTCAGGTCTCTGTTAGTATACCAATAATGGTGCAATAAATAGTATGTGCCATTTTGCATATGCTGAAGTACATAAGATAAATTTCTACAAGTGTCTACACTTCCTTAAAGTATTAATTAATAAATAAATGACACATATCCTTACCAAAAGATTCCACTTCTAGTAAATCTAAGTCCCAGGCTTAGTTTTCATTTGAAAGTGAAAGTTAAGCATAGGTATACGAGAAGTTCCGTCGCTAAACTGCTCAAATGAGTCTCAATTAGTAGATTTATGTGAAGAAAATCCCTGGCCTAAAGATTTTAAATTCTCAAACACACAAAATGCAAAATCTAATAAAATAAACTGTGCTTCAATATTAGTATTGCAGCACTTGGATGAGACCACCCTACTGTAGTTTAAGCTAAAACACCAACAAAACAAAGAAAGGGACCCAAGGGAGGGAAAGAGAAAAGGAAGTCATTCTTGGACATTATCCTCCAGACCATTCTCATTCCCTAGCATATTATCACCTTCACAGGAATTATGTATCTGCACTGACTTTCTCATTAAAAAAAAAAAAACCCATACTTCCTCATTTACTTCCAGAACTAAGTAGAATTTTTAGAATGCTATGATACTACTGGGGGAAAAAATGCTACACCTACAAGTATTACCATTAAACTATTACTTAAAGAAGATCCTGTCATTCATTCTCCCATTTAGGAAGACAAAAAAAACAACAAACTCTTCACTTCTGATTTGGAATTCAAATGGCAGGTTCAATTTTAAAAATGAACTTTTTTTAAACTACTGTTTCATGGTAAAACATTTTCTTTGAACACTTTGTTTCAAAAAGATAAAAGCAAATACCTGCCAAAACCAAATGATCTGCTTGCTGTTTCTTGTATAATGACGATACACAGTATTTCTCTGCCAATCTGCCAAGTCAACCTCCTGCATGCCACACAACATAACCTGGGAAATGAACACAGTAGCAGGTCACAGTACAGATTTAGTGAAGCGAATAACTATAGGACTGAAATTTGCTAACAAACACTTGTGCACATGGCCTAATTATGTGAACAGCTGCATGCATGACAACTAATGATCACAGCAAATCCAAGAAAATTTGTAGCAATTTAGAACAAGGATTCTTTGGTACTTTATCTTTTCCATGTTTATTGAACTCACCCTGAAAACAACTTAGAGTTTTTATTCTTCAAGAAAAACATTAGCTATGCTAGAAGAATCTCTTACTAAAAATGTATCCCAAATTAGGTGTCCAAACTGTTAAGTTTCAAATGTAAATTTCTGGTTCTTTTTTTTTCTTCATCTATGCTATCTTCCATTTAAAGTTAAAAATATACTAATTCCTGTTATTAATTTTCCCAGGCTTTGGGAATAAAATATTCTATGTGAAATTTTCAAATAAGCCCACTGAATTACATAGGGGATGAAAGCTATTTTTGGCATAATGAGGTAGTCCAATACTTCATTTCTCCTAAGTTAACTTTGAGCTATAATGTACAGGCAATAAAATGCATGTATTTTAAGTATAGTTAGATGAGTTTTGACAGATATATACACCTATGTAACTGCCACCACAATCAAGATGTAGAATATTCCCATTATGACTCTTTTTGCAGAGAAAAACACCATCTTTGTCTTTGGCTCTACGTAATCAATGATTTCATCACAGGTTAAGTTTCTGAGAATATCACACATGCACATGCGCGCGCGCACACACACACACACACACACACACACACACACACACACTACACAATTAACACTCTTCTGCTGTCTCCACCCCCTGCCTCCACCTGTCAACACCATGTCTATGGGATTCGCGTTCATTATACAATTTACTTATTCTTTCATTTCTTAATGGTCATTTAGGTTACTTCAAATTTTTGGCTTTGATGAATAAAGTTGTGATGAACATTTATGTAAAAATCTTTGTATAAATATATATTTTATTGCACTTGAATAAATACCTAACAGTGGAACTGCCAGGGCATAAGCAGCTGATATATATGTTTAACATTGTAAGAAACTACCAACACGATCCCAAAGTGTTTTCATTTACAGTTTCAATTTGCAGTTTTAATTTCATTTAGTTTTAATTTGCATTTTCCCAATAATGAGTTATAGTTCATGTGTTTACTTGCCATCATAGCTTCTTTTGTGAAGTGGGTCTTTGCCCATTCTAGAAAATTGTTTTTTACGGAGTTTTAAGAGTTAAAATACGTGTGTGTGTGTGTGTGTACACACATACACATACATACACACACTCCCAGTGTGTAGACTGCCTTTTCATTTGCTTAACAGTATCTTTTGAAGAGCAGAAGTTTTACTTTTGATGAAGTCTTTATCCTTTTTGTGTATGTGTGGTTTATTGTTTTGTATTCTTAAGAAACTTCTGCCCATACTAAGATTACTCTGTTTTCTTTATAGCTTTCATATTTACATTTATGATTTCATCTTTTTTCATAGACTAAAGTAGGAGTCAATGTTAATTTTCTTCTATATGGACATCTAGTTGATCCAGCATCATTTTAAAAGACTTTTTCTTTCCTCACTGAAAAATAGTAGACTTCTGTTAAAAATCAATTCACAATATATGTGTGGATCTATTTCTGAACTCTCTAGTGTTCCACTGATCTATTTGTGTATCCTTTCAAAAGCATCACACTGCTATAATGACTATGGCTTAATAATAATTTTTGAAATCAGGCAGTGAACATCCTCCAAGTCTGTTCTTTTTCAAAACTGTTTTAGCTTATCTAGAGCCTTTGCATTTCTTTGTATTTTTAAAATCAGCTTGTTAATTTCTACAAAAAATTATTCCAGATATTGATTGGGATTGTGTTGAATATACAGATCAATTTGGAGAGAACTGACATTTATAATAGAGTCTTCCAACATATAATATGATGTATCTTCCCATCTATTTAAGTCATCTTTTTCTTTAAAAAAAAAAAAAAAATGTTTATTGGGGCACCTGGGTGGCTCAGTCAGTTAAGCATCTGACTTTGGCTCAGGTCGTGATCTTGCAGTTTGAGTTTGAACCCCACATCAGGCTCTGGACTGACAGCTCAGAGCCTGGAGCCTGCTATGGATTCTGTGTCTCCCTCTCTCTATGCCCCTCTTCCCAGTCGCACACTGTCTCTCTCTCTCTCAAAAATAAACATTAAAAATTTTTTAAAGGTTGGGGCGCCTGGGTGGCTCAGTCGGTTAAGGATCAGATTCTTGGTTTCAGCTCAGGTCATGATATCACAGCTCTGGGGGTTCAAGCCCCACATCGGGCTCAGTGCTGGCAGCACAGAGCCTGCTTGGGATTCTCCCTCTCCCTCTCTAGCTGCCCTTCCCCCACTCATGCTGTCTTTCTCAAAACAAACTTAAAAAATTTTTTTTAAATAAAAATAATTTTTTAAAGGTTTATTTATGTTGAAAGAGAGGGAGGGAGAGAGAATCCCAAACAGACTCTGCACTGTCAGCACAGACCCCCATACAGGGCTTGATCTCACGAACCATGAGATCATGACCTGAGCTGAAATCAGGAGTTTGACACTTAACTCACTGAAACCATGCAGGCGCTCCAAGTCATCTTTAATTTTTCTGAGCAATGTCTTGTGTTTTCAGTACAGAGGTCGTCCATGCCTTTGGTTACATTTATTTTTTTGATGCGTTAGTAAATAAAACTTTAAAATTTCAATTTCTAAGCATTTGTTGCCGGTACATAGAAAATATATACTTGATTTTTTAATTACTGGCCTTCTATCCTACAGTCTTGTTAAATTTGCTGTTATTTCTAGTGGTTTTTTTCTTTGGTAGGTTCTTTAGGAGTTTCTAAGTTGACTATCATATGTTATTATCCATGGATAAAGGCCATTTTACTTCTTTCCAGTCTTTATGCTTTTTGTTTCTACTTTTGCTTTACTGCACTGGCTGGGCCAGTGGGGAATATCTGGTATAGTGGGTAATATAAAGGATGAGAGTTTTGCCCCTGCTCCTAATCTCAATATGAAATATTGAAGATACCACCATTCACAATGATGTCAGGGTTTATCTTATTCGTTGATCCTCTTTAACAAACTGAGAAAGTGGCCTTCTATTCCTACTGTGATGAGAGTTTTTATAAAGAATGACTGTTACATCTTCATAGTTGAAACATTTTAACTTGTAAAGGGGCATGATTATCAATAATCATTATTTTCAATAATGGTATACATGCCCATTATTGTGGTATTATTCATGGTTAAGAGAGATGATGAATGGATGTAAAAGAACAATAAAAATCAAGATAAAGCAAAAATAACAACAAAAAAGATCTATATTTTCTCACAGTTCTGTACCATGAACTAAAGGCAAATCAGTAACAATAAGAGCTTTAGTCCCCTTATATGTAAAAGGAAACTAACACATGGTCAAACTATTTCACAGGGCTATGCATGAGACAACTGTATCTACCAAGGGCTATATGAAAGTATGCGTCTCTTCATACCCTTTCAGATCTACTGTCTTAGTTTCATCTCTGCTCTAATGTTGGACTCTGGCTGTAATATCCCTCTTTCACTAGGTGTGCCTCCAAAGTAGGAGCTTTTTTGTTAGTTTTTAAAAAATTTAAATCCAAGTTAGTTAACATATAATATAATAATGATTTCAGGAACAGAATTGAGTGATTCATCACTTACATATAACACCCAGTGCTCATCCCAACAAATGCCGTCCTTAATGCGCATCGCCTATTTAGCCCATCCCCCCGACCCAACACCCCACCAGCAATCCTCAATTTGTTCTCTATATTTAAGAGTCACTTATGGTTTGTTTCCCTTTCTGTTTTTATCTTATTTTTGCTTCCCTTCTCCTATGTTCATCTGTTTTGCTTCCTAAATTCCACATGAGTGAAGAAATCATATGATATTTGTCTTTCTCTGACTTATTTTGCTTAGCATAATACACTCTAGTTCCATCCATGTTGTTGCAAATGGCAAGATTTCATTCTTTTTCATCGCCAAGTAATATTCCATTGTATAGATATACCAAATCTTATTTATCCATTCATCATTTGGTGGACATTTGGGCTTTTTCCATACTTTGGCTATTGTCAGCAGTGCTGCTATGAACATTGGGGTGTATATGCCCTTTTGAATCAGCACTCCTGTATCCTTTGGATAAATACCTAGTAGTGCAATTGCGGAGTCATGGGGTAGCTCTATTTTTAATTTTTTGAGGAACCTCCATCCTGTTTTCCAGAGTGGCTGCACCAGTTTGCATTCCCACCAGCAGTACAAAAGAGTTCCTTCCTCTTTCTCTGCATCCTCACAAACATCTGTTGTTGCCTGGGTTGTTAATTTTAGTCATTCTGACAGGTGTGAGGTGGTATCTCATTGTGGTTTTGATTTGTATTTTCCTGATGATGAGTGATGTTGAGCATCTTTTCATGTCTGTTAGCCATCTGGATGTCTTCTTTGGAAAAGTGTTAAAATAGGAGCTCTTAATGGTATGGAATACTTTAGGTGTATACATTTTGAAGACACAAAATTATTTAATTTTCTTCAGATTCTTAATGAAGTGTGTGATTTAAAAAAAAGATTAAATACTGATATCTTCCATTCTATTCTTCTGATGTGTTTCTGCTAATCTGTGTAGTCAAGCTATTAAGAAAGAGATGTTAGCCAGATTTATAGAGTCTGCATGTCATCCAGGCTCAAAGTCCTTATTTTCATATACTTGTCAGTTACCAGAAGGCAAATTTCTATAAGGGAATATTACTGTATATATAAATCATCATGCTAACTTTTTATATGCACATTTGATTATGGTGTCTTAACAGAGAACCAAAGATGGCTAAAGTTAAAACACTATACCCAAAGGAGGCAGAGAAGAAATACCAAGGACTTTCCACAGCCCTGCCTTGTGTTCTAATCTATATGGGGAAAGAAGACTTCAAGAATTCACCATAACTAATCATTAGAGAAATATAAATCGCAACCACAATGGGATATCACCTTATACCCATTACTATAATAAAATAAAACAGAAAATACCAAGTGTGGGCAAAGATGTGAAGAAACTGGAACCTGTGCACACTTTTGGTGGGAATGTAAAATTGTACAGCCACTACAGAAGTGTGGTAGTTCCTCAAATAATTAAACATAGATTTACTATATGATTCACCAATACCACTCCTGAGTATACATCTAAAAGAACTGAAAACAGACTCTCTAAGAGATATCTATAGATCCATGTTCATGGCAGTTTTATTTACAGTAAACCAAAAGGTAGTAGCAACCCAAATATCCATTGACTGATAAATAAACAAAATGTATAGATATATACATACAATGGAATACTATTCAGCCTTAAAAAGGGAAGGAATTCTTACACATGCTACAATATGAATCAACTATGAGGAACATTATGTTAAGTAAATAAGCCAGTCATAGTAAGACAAATACTGCATTATTTCACTTACAGGAGACACCAAGAGTAGTTAAACTCATAGAAAGTAGAATGGCGGGGCCAAGAAGGAGAAATGGGGACCTGTATAGAATTTCAGTTTTGCAAAATGAAAAAGTGCTGGAGATTGGTTGCACAATAATGGGAATATACTTAACATTACTGAACTGTACAATTAAAAATATTCAAAATGGTAAATTTTGTCGTGTGTACTTTCCCACATCCCTCCAAAAAAAGAAGCTCTGATATACTTCTAATAAGTCTGAATGCAGTTAAGACCACTAAGAACTCATGACTTAAAAAACTGATCTTTGGGGCAACTCACTACTAACCCAGGATTTTACTAAGTTCCCCAAGTTATTAACAAGGTTGAACTCATTCTTCAGGATGGGGGCACTGATTAAGGACTTTGTGCCCATGACATCATCATGGTTTAGAGAACTTAAGACCATCACCCCATGCTGGGATTTTAATACATCCTGAACACTGAGATGGATAAGAGAATTCAAGATTGTGCCACATCATTCAAAAATGTGTGGACATCCTGTAGAAGCGCAAAAACAGTCCCTCCTCCCATTAACATTTTCTAAACAGCATAATAAAAAAGCCCTAACCTCCAATTCTTTTTCATCAAAGTACTGGAGCCACTGAAGAGGAACAACTTCATTAAAACCATCAAGGAAAGCTTTGGTCTGTTCTTGCACTCCTCGAGAAAAACGCCACTCTGTCATTAAACTGAAAATAAAAACAATATTTAAAAATAGTTAATCTGCATGTGAGGTAAAAGCTTAGAAACACCAACTACTTCTAAAATTCCGTCTCTTTTTCCAAATATACCATACATATGTAACATATACATGTTTGTGTGTTTATGTACATAACATGTTTCTCCATGAGGAAATCAGTTCTAGCACATCTGTGGCTAGAAAGGATGCTTTTCAAAATAGGAAGTTCTTTATTTGTCAGTAAGACAGCCACAGTTCAACACTTACTATTTCCTGTTCATGTGTAACAAATAATTCCAGATATTGTCTAACTGACACAGTAAGGGAAAGGCTACAGTCATTCAACAGGTTCTCCTCCCAGCAAACCATTTGCCAAGGGAGACTTGAGAACTCTGACTCAGCCTTGCACAGCGGGGAAAGCAAGGGACTGTCTCGGTAACAGTCTGTCTGCAGGCCATATGCTTAAATGCGGTATGGTCCCTCTGTCTGAGAAGGCTTAAAGCTGGGGAACTGGTTCTTTACATGTTAATTCATTAGAGAGAACACAAAGATTTCCTAAAAGAATAGAAAAGATGAGAAGAAACATTCTGAGGAGACATATAATGCAGACATACAGGAGGGAAGTGTAATAAAAAGAAGGAAGAGAATCTGTATAGTGATGCAGAATCTATACAAGGGGCCCTGACAGTAGGTGGGTCTGGAGGTCCCTGTGGAAGCAGCACAGACTACTGATGAGGAGAAGACACCAGAAACAGCAGACAAAGGGAAAGGCGATTATCCACATTCCTCCCCTTCCAAACGCCTCTTCCCGTGTCCCAAAGGAAGCTGATTTTATTCTCTGCTGAGGCAAACTTTTCATCCTTGCTGCCTCTACAATTTTCTTCATCAATAACTCACCTTCTTTTGCCCAAGCCCTCAACTCTACCTTCCTACCCCACTTCCCATTTGCCCACATGGATGCTCAGACCATTATTTTCCAAAACCCTCCCTTCAACCCAGTGTTTGCTTTTAACTACTGTCTTTGCTCTTTACCACCACTCCTATTAGAAGAGTACTCTATCCTGTCTCCACTTCTCAGCTCTATTCATCCAAATTTTAAACCACTGTAATGGTCTGGGTTTTCAAGATTTCACTCTGGAGGATAAACAAATCTCTTCACATATGTCACCAAAGAAGTCTCAATTGCCAAGCCCAATGCCCTCTTCAAAATTACTCCTGCTGCATGAACTTCCTGTAACACTGGGTGTTAGCATTCCCAACCCTCAGAGAGTTCTCTGATCTGACAATACCACCGCTCCTTAACTGACTTAGCTACTTTGTTCCTTTCATTGGTTTCACTGGTCCATAAATGTTGGCATCACTGAGCTCTCTGCCTTTTCTTTTCTAGCTCTTTACTACTTAAAGATAATTAACATGTGGGGCGCCTGGGTGGCGCAGTCGGATAAGCGTCCGACTTCAGCCAGGTCACGATCTCGCGGTCCGTGAGTTCGAGCCCCGCGTCGGGCTCTGGGCTGATGGCTCAGAGCCTGGAGCCTGTTTCCAATTCTGTGTCTCCCTCTCTCTCTGCCCCTCCCCCGTTCATGCTCTGTCTCTCTCTGTCCCAAAAATAAACGTTGAAAAAAAAAATTAAAAAAAAAAAAAAAGATAATTAACATGTTCAACTGTTAACCAATTCAGAAACCTCAAATATTTCATTTACTAGTATTTCCCCCATTACATGTAATCAATCATTGAATCTGAACTATTCTATTCCTATAATATCCTCAAAAATCCATTCCTTCATTTTTACCTCACCTGTTTCAGGTAGGTCTACAATACCAACTACCAGAAGTTTGAAAGAGCCTTTTAACTATGTTCAGATCTCTAACTACTCCCCGCCCTTCCATCCATCCCTCCCAATTCAACCTCCACAAAGATGCTAGGATTAGCCTTCCAGAAATAATTCTGATCATTTCATCTTAGTTTTCATTTGTTTTTGATGACTCTCCTAATAGAGCAAAAATCCAGGTTTCTTAGACATAAAAGTTTCCCTAGACTAATGCAAATCTGGCTACCATTCAAGGCTCCTAGCTAGCCACTATATCTCCTCTGTGGCTATAGATTCTTGGGATAAACTAATCCCTTTAATACCTCAATTCCTCTGCTTTTGCTATTTCCCTCCCTCCAAAAAGCACTCCATCTTTTCAGACCTAACATGCAATGCCGTGGGAAAACTTTCCTGAGTCCTAGCAGAATCAATCTCACTTTGGATTCTGACAGCATTTCATACATCTCTCTACCATTCATTTACTCAGAGATTAACTGCGGTACACTAAAACCAAAATATCACAATTAAAAAAGAATAGTATTTTTACATAATTTTAAAGAGCAAGATTAAAAAAAAAAACAAGATTAAAGTCTGTTATTGTTTCAGAAACTGAAACAATTAAGCAAAAATTGTTATATTCAAGATTAGATATCAACTCTTATATAACAGGTATTACATGGGCAACTCTTTAAAAACCAGTTATCACCTTAACACAAAATATAAAATATAAAGTAGCAAACTAAATATGGCCTTTATATGATGAAATTTTATTTAATCTGCTTTTGATATTTGAAAACATTGACAGCATTTTAAAAATGCTTCAGATGTGCTATTTAATAGCTATTGTTGGTTTCTGTGGAAAGCTTATGGCTTGAATACAAAATGCCCAGCGCCTTATGGAACTATCTTTGGAAACATACTGTTTTCAAAATGGAAAAAACAATTTAGCTATTTACGAGTAATAAATGCTCACTATATGACAAAGAAGCAAAACAAAAAAACCTCAGAGAATATAAAGATACATAAAGAAGAAAATCAGTTATTAAACTGGTTTTCTCCTCTCAGAGAAAACTAATTAAGCAGAAAAATAGGAAGAGGCCTAGAATGCCACACTGGAATAGCTGCATTAACTTAATAGGCAAAGAGACATTAAGGATGTGAAATTGAAAGGCCATAGCAATTTTATGGGTTAAAAAGGGAAGAAAGGATTGTTAGCTATGTCCTTTTGCAAAAGCAATACATCAATTAAACAGTCTTCGACGAAATTACCTCACTTTAGAAATCTATGCCACAAAGACAAAAGCAGCAGATACACACAGCTTTACTTAAGGAAGTTTTCTTTGCCTTTGTTTGTAGTGGCCCAAACTGGACACAATCTGAATGACACTTACTAGCAGAAAGGACTACTATAGAATGGGTATACCATAATTTATCTAGCTATTAGAAAATGTGTTAGGTCTATCTCTACTGACATAGAGGATGGAAAAAGCAAGCTAGAGTATGATACGATCCCATTTTTGAAACAAATATCAAGAACATAAAGTCTGAGACGATGATGGCACCAAGAATCCAAGGGTAGTACCATTAATAGAGATAACAAGGCCAAGTAAGGCAATAGGAAAAATAACAGAAAGAAATTTGATTTTAACTTGATTTAGTAGTTGAGGAGTTGACAAACTATGGCCCATGGGCCCAATCCAGCCCATCACCTGTTTTCTGTACAGCATGTAAGCTAAGAATAGTCTTTACTTTTTAAAAATGATTGAGAAAATATTCAAAGATTATCTGACTTGAAAATTATATGAAATCAAATTTCAGAGTCCACAGTAATTTTGTTGGAAACATAGATAGCAACACGTATCTGTTCATATTTTGTCTATGTGCTTTTGTGCTGCAACAGCAGAGTGGAATAGTTCCAAGAGAGATTGTATGCGACTCACAAGCCTAAAATATTATCTGTCTTTCATGGAAAAGTATGGATCTACCTGGAAATTATTTCTAAAGTTCAGATATTGCTTTATTAGAAAACTGAAGCCATGGTGCCAGTCTATTTAGAGAAGCAGGTTGAATAAAGAACCTTGGAAAAATATCCACATTTAGGAAAAGGAGTTTTAGATAACCATCGTTAAAGAGAAATTAAAGAAAATCCATGAGGTGCAGATCACGGGATTCAAAGGAACAGTTTCAAAACAGAGGCTGTGGTGGGCACTGTGAAAAAAAAAGAGGAAACGTGAGATGGAAGAGGAATCGAGCATTAGATTACTGGTCACGGCTTGGGCTACAGGCTGGGCTTTGCTACTACCGTTATAACAGAGCACCCTAGGTTCTTCATCTAGAAATAATGAAACTGCACAGTCTTTGCAAAGTCCTTTTTAGCACCAATGTTCTATAATTTTTGATCTAGACAAAGATGGGAATGCATATAGCAAGCGGGAGTGGGAAACTGAAGGTCACTATTCTCATTTCTAGAACACTGATTGGTACTGTTGAGAAGAACTTAAATAAATGTTAAGCCATGAGAGGCAAGGGAAGTTATTTTAGTACATTTGAATTTTTTAGTCCTGTGAGAGCATGTTTATAAACTGAGATGAAGATTGAGTAGAGAGCAAATGACAGAAAAGGATACGTGAAAGGGGGAATGAATGTGGAACAGCTTCCCAGAGGAGTGAACGTGGAATCAAATGAAGGGTACAGACAGAGTTGTTAGTTCTGACATGCTTTAGAAGTTCTAGAAATTAAGGCCAACCAAGTATATCACCTTACCCAATATATTCATCTTTGTTCTCCTCAGTCACGAGGATATTGGAACCTCCCAACTTCAGGTCATGTGAAGTAACCTTTCCCAAAATTTCCATGTCAACAGAAAAGTACATTTCTAAGCCACATTCTTCAATGTTGTTGTCTCTGGGTGATAAAAACATATATGGACTAATTAACCAGATATCTAAATTGTCTTCAAGAAAATGCCTTACTGAAAGACAAATCTTCAAACCTTATCCAGATAAGGGAGTTATAAAATTCAGTATCAATAGACTCCAAATCCTTAATAGTCAGTTTTTTGCTTAGCATACGCTTGTAGAATGGTAAAGAGAAACCAGTATCAATAAACTTCCCATGAAAAAGTGCCTGCCAAGAAAAACAAAAAATTTTACTTAAAAATTTATGAAACAGTAATTTTCTTATTCAAAGCACACAGTAACAGAGAAATCATGAGATTTCTCAGGCCATGAGATTTTCACAGGCCAAAATAAGCACTTAAATAAGTAACCAGCGTAAATCATGAAAACCAATTATATAAAATGCTAAGTATGAAAAACAAATGACAGAGTTAAATAACACTTAACTACATCATGTCCTATTGATAACTATAAGGAAAATAAAAGAACAGTACCAAAACCCCCACTCTTTCCAGTGTTTTATAAATTAAATTAACCTAATTGGATGCAGAAATACAGAAGGAGCCTCAGCACTCCCGTGCACGCACCTGGCAAGACCTCTTCTTCACGCCTCTTCTGACCACAGTTGCCTAAGAGATTTCCAGGACTAACAGCATTTGCTTTCACACCTGCTCACAACAGCCAAAGCAGGAAGCGCCAGATCCCCTCAGCACCCCAATTCTCGCCACCAACTGCCCATCCATCTAAAAATCTAATTCCATTTCTCACACCTCCCCTAACTCCCAAAACCATCTCTATGCTCTACCCTGTGAGGCTCGTGATCCATCAGCAAAATCGCTCATATACTCAAATCATTCTTTGAAGATCCTTTAGCATCTTGCTTAACAAAAATCTAGTGTTTTTCTGAGGACTCCGCTTCTACGTCCTCCCAAAGGGGTGCTGTTTCTCTCCCATCCCCCTGTCACCAGGCCTGGAAGTAAGGCATATGTTGCTCTTCATTACTATTTCCTCCTCCCTAAATCTGCCTGTCTTTAAGCTCATGCCTTCACACTGTCATTGGTGGCTAACCACCCCACCCCTGTCCGCATTTCACTGCTATCATCCCTAGATCTCTGGGTTTCTCCTTGTTACTCCATCAATGCTGTGTTCTTCTGTGCTACCGTCATAAATAATTTTGGACAGTCTAACATCTACAATGATGATTCTCTTACTTTCCTGACTTTTTAGTCCTTTCAGTGATCTTAGTTTTTCATTTAGCTAAACGTTCTTGACATCATACCTTAGATACTGTTATTAGCAACCACTGTATTTCTTCACAAACTCAATTTCAACCACCACCTAATTTGCCAGCTCACTGCCTTTTGCAGTGATACCTGCAACTTTTGACCCCACTGGGATCTAAAAAATACATAGAAACTTATCACTGTTTCTCAGCTTCTCAAAAAAGTTATTTCTCCCCTTATTCAATTTTGATTCCACCATCAGTCATTAAAATTACTCCCTCGTATACCTCCAAACCCAGCTTCCCTTCAATGAATTTCTGGCAAAATATAAAACCCTGCTAAACACAACTCTTAACCTACTCCCTGCCTGTGTCTGGGCGCTGAAACATGCTAGAAATGCATATACAACCATGGTGACTGGTTCATGACCAACAACCTTGAGTGGGAGCTTAGTGCTACCTGGTAATCCTAATGCCCCACTACATTCACTCTCCCAGATGACTATTTCATTCCTCAAATACTTCTTTTCCCCACTCCCACTGAGCCTATGATTTTGCCGTCTATTTCAGTGAGGGAAAAGAAGCCATCAGAAGAGAATTTTTGTGTGTTCCATCAGGTCTGCTCACTATAAGCAACTGAATCTATTTACTGTATTAAGTCATCTATTACTTCTATGTGGACTACACAGATCTCTTCATCTCTCCTACTCAAGGTCATTGCTCCCATAGTCCCTATCTCTTTGACCTCACCAAATTCTTTCCTCTTACTTGGCCATCATCATCTGCAGATAAATGGTTTATTCCCCACCCATTCCTTATTTATTTCTAGACACTGCCCAATTTCCCTAAAAGGAAGCAAACTTCCTTAAAAGGTTTATATTTGTTGTCTCCATTTCCTCTTCCATTCTTTCTGGATTTCACCCCCACCAACCATTCCTCTGTACTGCTCCGGAATGCCTTTCCCCTGGCCAAATCAAATGGTTGCTTCCCATACCTCATCTTGCTCAGCCTACCAGAACCGAACATAGCTGATCATCTTCCCTCATCTTCTAGCAAGGTTCTTATTTGAGTCTCCTACCTCCTCCACGGCCTCGGCTCTTTTGCTGGTTCCTTCTCATCTCCTTGACCTGCAATGTCCTTAACCTTCTTCTCTGTCCACACTTATTCCTTAAAAGATCACAAAGCCCGATCTATCTAGATACCCTCTCATCACCAGACTTCTATATCCACCTACTCTACATCTCCATTTGGATCTATAGGTATCTAAAACTTAACAAACCAAATCCAGTTTCTTGATTTTTCCCAATCCCCCAAATTTGCTCTTGCCACAGCTGTGCCACCTTAGGAGACAGCCACTGCAACCAGGCACATTTTGACACCATACTTGACGCTCTCACACTATGCATCTAAGCTGTCTGAAAACCCTGTTAACTCTAACTACAGAATATATCCCCGAATCCAAACCACTTCTCACGACGATCTCAACTGCTACACCACTTAAGTCCAAAGCCACTATCATCTCTCACGTGGATTGTCATAAATGGTCTCTCTGCTTCTACTGTTGCTCTCCTCTGCACGCAATTATAGTCTCTTTCCTACACAGCAGCAAGATAAATTTCATAAAAGCTAAGTCAGATCATGTTATTTTGATCATGTTATTTCCTGCTCACAACCCTTAAGTGAATTTCCTAGAGGTCCCACACAGTACCTTTCAACCCTATCTCCCACCACATTCTCTCTCATATACTCTGCTCCAGGCATGTCATTTCCCAATCAAAAATGTAACTACACTTTGGAGACTTTTTCTTGCTCTTCCTTATGTCTAGAATGTTATTCTCCAAGATATATGCATCATTCAATTCTTTGCTTTCACTTTTATGTTCATGTGTGACCCCTCAGAGAGGCCACTTCTAATCGTGCCATATAAAAAAGCAACACTCCTTGTTCCTCGGCACATACTTATGTGTTATTCTGTATTTGTTATGTGTTAACCCTTCTAACAGAAGGGTTAGAGAGAGAACGGGGACAATGTCTTTTTATCATGGTCTCACCTCTGTCATACTACCATGCTATAGTAGGTGCTCAATAAATATTTGCTGAGTGAATAAACAGGTAAGAAAGTACAAATACAAACACTTCTGAAAACACAACAGTTCCACACCACAAGAGCTTCTGTAAAGCTCTGAAAACTCCCAGCACATCAGTCAAGTCCAAATGTTATACAACTCAGATTTTCCTTTTACACAAAAGTAGTCACACTATAATTATGCTTTAATTTATAAAATAAAAGGACTTTTAAAGACCAAAAGGCTACATCAATAATCCTCGTATTCATAATCTTGATTTCATATAGGTACTCAAAAAATAAATTGTATTTTGGTATTCTCCTTTCTAGGCAGACTTCCTTGGTAACAAAGTTTGGGAATATATATAAGGGATAATGCGGATCATTTTTTAGTCTTCTCTACAATACTTTTGAGATAAACAAGTTTAAGTAAATAAATGAATAAATAAACAATGGAAAATCAGGACTCACCATAGCAATAAAGCGGCCAATAAAACAGAAGTACGAAAGATGGTCTGGATTAATGGTTGAGGCTGGATTTATTTGTAGACAATAGTTGTTCTTGCCAGCATACTCAAATAAGCAATACATGGGGTTCAAAACTTCATGTGAAAGCAAGAAAAACCATTCTCTAAAAGAAAAGATAATTTTTTAGCTTTCATACATACATGAATATAAAAACAAACCTAAATACACCCATGTACATATCATACCTCTGCTCAACAGCCTGTAGTAACTTGGCTGCCCAATTCCTCAGCCCTCCAGTTAAGTCTTCCTATGATCTGGCCCTCCAGTCAGTTACCTGCAGTTCTTATGATGCCAGACTACAAACTCAGTGCCACTCACAGGTAACATGCTTATTTTTATGCCATACTTTCATCTGGCTATGTCTCCTCAGTGTCAAGCCAGCCTATGTAGGTCCTACTTTGTCTTTCAGCACAACGTAGATCCATCCCATTTAAGCAACTTTTCAAAGCAATTTTCAACATATTTATTTGTATCAATCACTGAGTACTCTGTGGTATTGTGGTAACAACCACAATATTATTCATTTTCCTATACATGACCTGCCCATCCACTAGACTATAAGCTCCTCAAAAGCAAAAGCCTCGTCTTAACATATATTTTTGTAACCGACTCATAGGCATTTTAGGATCTATACGCAATAGGCTTTAATAAGTATTTGCTGTTGATACTGACAGACACCGCACTGATGCTCAGGAACGGTTTTTATTGTCAATGTATTACAAATGAAACAAAAATTTAAAAGATGAAACCTTTAAATGTGATAAGCATTCTCTAACTTTTTACCATCAATTTTGCCTCATGTAGCAAAGTCCAATACATATGAGATCCAAATAGATAAGAGATTAATAATTTACATATCAAAATAAACCCAATTTGCAAGATTCTCTTCAACAGTAATTGCTTCTAAAGCAGGGTTCCAAGCTCAAATACTTACAGTGATTAGCAAGTGGCTTCCTTCTGTACACAGCCTCCAATTCTCTACCTAGCCCCAATCTCCCATTCTTTACTGTATCCCTAATAAAAGTTATTACCAGTTTTAAGGAAGAATTATTTCTGGGCATATAATCATTGTCCTTAGATGACAGGGGAATGGTGGGCACAGAGTGAAAGAGTGTATACTACTCTATAGGACTGAATCAGCTACTCAGATTCAGCCAATTGATGCCACGTGAGAAGCTGCCAACATGGGTCTACGGTTTTTAAAGAGAACCCAGAAATCTTGATTCTTAAGCATGATTTAGTGATTTTCTTTAATGTATCAAATAATTGAAAAAAATTTTTTAAATCACAGTGGGGGCCATTACTAGGCAGGCTAGATCTGGCCTGGAAGCCTTTTTACAAACACTGTTCTAAAGCTTTAAAAATACAATCTCAGAAACTGTCTGACAGAGAAGGCAATCTTTCCCTGAACAAAATCAACTAAGAAATGATAAACACTAACCCACAAAACTAAATCCAGCCCCAACATAGTAGTTGAACTAAGTGACTTCCCACTGTGACAAGGCTGAGGTAAGACATGTCCCCAGGGAAAAGGGCTGACGGATCTGTGAGAACGTGTTTAGACACAGAAAAACCAGAAACAGAATTTCCAGTTGCGGCAGATCACTTTTAGCAAACTAGAAGCCCAGAGAAAACGGAATACATTTAAAAGAAGAATGTTTATGTATAACATGGTATCTGACCTATATACCCTGACATTAAAATTAGAAGAAAAAATTCTAATTAATAAGAGGTGGAAGAGTTCACTTTCAACATATCCTTTTCTATACTTTCTAATAAACTAAAGAGATACAAGAGGTTAAAAAAATTATGAGACAACAGATGAGCTAGCAGAGCCTAGAGAAGAAAATGAAGAAAACAGTAAAGCCACTAATGAAGAAAAATCACATTAGAAGCAACAAAATGTAGGGCAGTACTGCAAACAGTGACATGAGGATAGGTTTGAGAAAATCAAAACAAAATAGAAAAGCACAAAGATAAAAATAATCAGAGAAAAGATGACAGACAGGTAGGACTGACGAAGAAGATTCCACATACCCATGACTGATGTTCCTGAAGAAAAATGGAACAAATGGAACAGAAAAAATATTCAAAGACATAATAGAAGAAAATTTCCCTTAAATTAAGAAAGATCTTAATAGGTTCCTAAGAAAAGATATAAAACAATCAACAATTAATGAATTAATGAACTTCAAGGAAAAGGACTGTGTGGGCATCCAAAGAAAAAAGTTTCCTATAAGGTGCTGGCTTTCCACTTCACAGTGCTGTACCATTCGATGCTAGAAGACAGTGAAGCAAGGTCTACAGAGAAGGGGACAAACTAGTGTTGCATAAGACATTTATATCTAGTGACGCTGTTTATATACAAAAGCACAAAAACACATTTTCAAATATGCAAAACTAAAGGAGTATATCACCCTTGTAAACTCTTGAATAAACCAAAACTAATACATGAATCAAAATTAAGAATTTGGGAATAAGAAAATCATACTATGGAGTAACTGGCTAAATGCATTAAAATGTCAAAATATAAAACTAAACCCAACCAATGAGGTAAGTATGAGTGCAGACAAGAATAGGAGTATTATAAAGTCAGACATTTTAAAAATAACACATTTCATTTCTAACGTCTACCTTCCTTTTTAATGTCTGAAAATTTCTGAAATTGAGATAAATCAAAATAGATGTAATATGAACATTTAGTTTCCTTTCTGAAAAAGCTTAATAATAATTCACTGGATGAGAAAATATGCTAACTAACCAAATCTGGTAACTCCACATATATGCTCCCACCTATTTCTGTTTTTGTTCACTGTACTAAAGTTGTGATTTTGTAATTCTGTACAACTATGACATATTGGTTTAAAAGATGTGTTTCTATGAAAAGCAAGTTTAATTCTTTTAAAAGATTTAAGGAAGGTGTGTCCTGCTGAAAAATAAATTGCTTTCAAGTTAGGTTTGGGTGAAGCAAACATTTTTTAAGGTTTTCATTAAAAAAAATTGAAATTAAAAGGATTTCCCATCATATTGCTTCACATTTTCTGTTAACAATGTATTTCATAAATGTAAAACTATTCTCAAAAGGATCCATACTGGATTAAAACACAAACATAAAACCAACATACACTGTTAGAATAGTAAAAACCTTATGCATGTTGATCTATTAATTATGATATCTGCATACAATATTATGCAGACATTAAATAAGAGTATCAGTGCCATTAAAATAAAGGAGAGTATTATCTCCATATATGATAGGAAAATATGTCGATATAAAATGATAAAATCAAGTTACTACAGCTGTTAACAGCTGTTAAAAAAAAAAACCCAAAAAACAGCATATGTACTATATCACACACACATACAAATTTATTTCTATGCAGAGAAAATGTAAAGGATAACCAAGACAGGAATAATAATGGTTACCTCTAGAATTGTGCTAATATTTTAATTTTTGTTTCTAAAAATAACTCTGGATTGCTACTGAAAAAAATGTATCTTTTCAAGAATACATCCACTACAATGGAGATATATTTATTGCAAAGCAGATATGTGTTTTTATTTTACCTTGCTAGACCACCATAATCAAGTCCTTCTTCTCCTCTAAATATTACATATAATCGTCTCCTCAAGTCATAGGGTTTTAATGCCATAATCTAATTAAAAACAAAAACATGGATATTTTAACACTCATATACAGTGCAAGTTTCTTCCAAAATCATTCAACTTAAATTTCATTTGTATTTCCAGAATTATACATTTCCTTATCTCATACAATGCCTTTAATTAAAGAGATCTATTGATGTGTTCCACAAACCAGTAGAGATGTACCTTACTCTTATGCCTCCTGTGATTCACTTTCTAAAATCTCTTTCCCCTCTTCTAGTATTAAATGGTAGTTCTACTTTGGGTTAGTGGCAAGAGGAAAAGTGACACAGAAAGTTTTTAAGCTTAGAAAATATTCAGTCCCCTGTCACTCTCCAAATTTTACCAAAATCTTGTAAAAGCTGACTTCTAAATTTTTGTAACTAGCAACATTTGATGAGAAGAGCTTGTTGTAGGTCCTGCTTATACCACGGATTTCATTTATCAGTAGGAAAGGAACTCAGCTAAAGCAAAGAGTTATTTACAGATACCCAATTTTCATAGTCTTTAATGGCTTACATTAACGATACTAGTAAACAGGCTTTACTTTTGAATAAAAATGAATTATTCCACCACACATATGATAAAACCTAGGCCAAGACTGGTGTGTCTGGGTGATGGCACAGCTTACCAGCAGGACTTCGCTTGGTAGGCAATCATGCACATCAAATTGACCATGATTCTCCCCACACCAGAGGACAGAGCAAAGTAAATCTTCCATGAACTTGGATGTATACTTACTAAAATAAAGCTCAAACAGAGCTTAGAACAAGCTAAGAATTTATTAACTCAAACCAAAAACTTAACTCAAACCAAAAAATTTTTTGATAGTAGCTATATTAAATATCATGCCCAAATTCCAACAGCTAGTAAAATTCAGCTAGGATCTGAATATTGTTGAGTCTGGAATGCTGTTATTCTATTTGGGCTTGTTTATGTAAAAGTCCTTGTGTGCCTGTATACAAAAGGAATTTTAGTTTATCATTGTAATACTGGGGGGCAGGGTATGAGCATGCTCAAGTGGGGGAAGGGCAGAAAGAAAGGGAGAGGGAGAATCTTAAGCAGGCTCCATACTGAGTGCAGAGCTCCACACAGGGCTGTATCTCACAATCATGAGATCATGACTTGAGCAGAAATCAAGAGTCAGGCACTTAACCAACTGAGCTACCCAAGTACCCCAGATTTATCATCTTTAAATATTCTGCAGATGATTCAGGAAAGGTAGACATATTCCATTCGTTCATTCATTCACCAAATGTTTACTGAATACCTGCTATGTGCAAGGCACTAGCATAACAGCAGTAAATGAAGTAGTCTGTGCTACCATGGAGCTTACATTCTAACAAGGGAGACAAAATGGGTCAGATAAGTGTTACAGAAAAGAATAAAGTCTCATAGGAGAGCAGGTACTGCCATTTTAAACTAGTGTGCTCAGATGAGGTCTCTTTTAGATCATAACCTTTAAACAGAAAGCTACAAGAGATAAGAATAAACATTAAGGTTACTGAAGGAAAACTTGAATGAAAGAGAGTATCTATACTGATTTAATTTTAATTTGGTAGTATTTACCAAGACTTGTTTGAGTTAATAAAGTCTTAGAAAAGTAAATAAATGTCAAAGTGTGTCAACTTGCTCCAGAAGCTGTTTATTTAAAATGGACACAATGATAAGAGCTATCTCAAAGGGATGTTGTGAGGATGAATTAAATGAAATGATAAACCTAAGATGCCAGTGTCAAGCATCTAGTAATCACTGTATACATGATGGGGTTTATTATGATTATTATTATAATGCACGCTCAGTGAGTGGCAGTTCATGGTTTAAAATTTCTAAACTGTAACTCCCTTCAGATATATAGAATATAATCTGACAAGCTGTACTATTTATTCTGATAAAATCTTCCTTACCTGTTGGAAGGAATCTTCGAACAATGTCTGCCGGGATACATTGATCTTTACGTGACTGGGTAGTGCGTTAGACTAAAAACAAAAATAGTATCGTGATATCATGTAAGTTATAGTATTTGTATAGTACAAAGATAAGACTAAATGATTACAAACATAAGATTTATTTACCACTGTAGTACCTGGCACAAATAACGGAAGTGAGCAAGTTTCCACCTAAAGCTGCGTTCATAAGCAATCTGTGGACCACCTTTAGTTCTAAAGGAAAAACAAAACAAAACATGTTAATTCACAATAGAGTTGGATATATAATATTGTGGAGTATACCAGAGTCCTACAAATGACCACAGGAAAGCTATTTGCTGGGAAAGAAGATAAATTTAGTGGGCTAAGAGGCCTGAAAAATGAGGACACACACAAAAGTAAGACTATATATATATGGGTGGATCTTTTGTAACAAAGTTAAATGAAATATTAAAGTCTGTTACTATTAAAAAAAAACTTTGATAATAACTTAAATCTAAGGAGGATAGAGGCTCTAGACAGAAAAGACAGGGAAGGAAATTCTACCACATCTTAAGCCCAATTCAAACTAAACATTGGTGAGAAAGTATGCAAAGCAAAATCAATTTCTAAGAACGAGTGACATCTAGGTCACACAGCTCAACTGGTAAATGACGGAAGAGACAGAGTGGGTGGCATGTAAGGGACAGGTGTGAGTCACACTGAGAAGGCCTGGGTCTTCTGCCTACTGAGGGAGAGCCTAAGATACATACATAAAGAACTTTCAAGATCTTAGGGAACGTTTTGTAATGGATGCAAAACGTTCTTGTGTTGTCAGGTTCAAGTGAATTCATTCAACAAATATTTACGTAAGACATACTACTACCTGGCACTCTTCTAGTTGATGAGAGTGTTATGTGTTAACAGGTACTGATAATGTGTTTTTGTGGAGGTTATATTCCAGTGAAGTGGAAAAACAAGAAACAGAATAAATAAGTAAATTATATACGAAGTGTGTTAGAAGGGGATAAATGTCTTACCACTCCTCCTCAAAAAGAAAAAACAAGAATGGCGCCTGGGTGGCTCAGTCGGTTAAGTGTCTGACTTCGGCTCAGGTCATGATCTCACAGTCTGTGAGTTCAAGCCCCACGTCGGGCTCTGTGCTGACAGCTCAGAGCCTGGAGCCTGCCTCAGGTTCCGTGTCTCCCCCTCTCTCTGCCCCTCCCCCACTCATGCTTTGTCTCTCTCTCAAAAATAAACATTAAAAAAATTTTTTTTAAAGAGAGAGAGGAAAAGGCAATGTAAAAGGATACAGAGTGTATAGGGAGATGTTTTAATCCTGAAAAGGGTGAACAGAGTTGGGCTCACAAATCAATATTTGAACAAAAACATGGAGGGCATAACCCATGTACATATTTGAGGAAAGAGCAGAATAACAGCTAAGACCCAGAAGTAAAAGTCCAGGTGCTTGAGGCAGAGCTATGTGGCCAGTGAAGCTGAAGCAGTGGGAATAAGGAGAGAAAACAGAGATGAAGTTGAAGAGGTAACGGGGATCACATTTTTTAAGGCCTTGGAGGCCATTGTGAGGAATCTGCTTTTCACTGAGCTGGAAATCACTGGAAAGTTTTGTGCAAAGGAATGACTTTTTACTACTTGCTGCTCTATGGAGAATAACATTATATGAGGTGTGGACAGAAAGCAGAGAGGCACTGTGCACTCCAGTTGACCAAAGTAGTGGCAGTGGACATGGTAAGACATAACGGGATTCTGGACACACTCTGAAGTTGAGATGGCTAAAAACGTATTGTGTCAAATGTATTATGTCAAATGCTCCTAAATCAAATGAGACAGGACTGCAACCAACCCCTGGATTAACAATTAACAATGTGGAGGTTGCTGGTGCCCTTAACAAGTTCAGGGTCAGTAAAACTCCTTGTAATCTGTTTGAAAGAGTAATTAGAAACAGCAATATAGAGACAACGCTTTCAGGTACTTTTCCTGTAAGGGGCAACAATAAAAATGAATTTTCACGGAATGAATTTGAAAGGTAAAAAGTTGTGTTTTTTAAAATTTTACTTTAAAAGGTTTATTTCTTTATTTAGAGAGACAGCGTGTATGCAGTAGAGGCACAGAGAGTGGGGAGGGGGGGCAGGTGGGCAGGGAGGAGAGAGAGAATTATAAGCAGGCTCTGTGCTATCAGTGCAGAGCCCAATGTAGGGGTTGATCCCACAAACCGTGAGATCATGACCTGAGCTGGAATCAAGAGTCTGTTGCTTAACCAACTGAGCACCACCCAGGGACCCCTGTTTATTTGTTTTCAATCTAGGAGAAATCACAGGTGATGAGAATAATTCAGTAGAGGAAGAAAAACTGATGATGGAAGATAGAAAGATGACAATTGCTACAACAATTAAATGGGAAGGGGGAAAGATCTAGTGTGCCAGTAAAGGCACTGGCCTTTGAAAGGAACAATGATAGTTCACCTATAGGATTAAGAGGGAAGACAGATGCTGGTAGGTGGGTAGATATGACAGTAGGAAATTTGAAAAAAACCTTTCATAAAACTATTTTCTTAGTGATGCAAAGATACCACACTTAAGAGTAAGGATGAAGGTGAGCTCTACTTTAAGGTCTTTTTATCTGGAAGATTCAAATTTGTTGACATCTCATTCCTTCACACTGCAGTGGCACGATGTGACTGTTAAATCTGTGCACAGACTACCTCGGTCTGAAACCAGCTCCATTACTTGCCATCTGATTTTGCACAAGTTAGTTATGTCCCCTAAGCCTCAGTTTCTGCACTGAAAAAGGGAAAATAATAGTATCCACCTCAAGGGGCTGTTGGGAAATAAAATGAGCTAGTTTATACAAAGTGCTTAGAACAATCCCCCACATACAGTAATCACTAGATAAATATTTGCCATCATTAACACATTATGTACTACAAATTCATTCCATAGTAACATAAAGCAAAGATGTACGTATACTGAGCTATTACTTGTATAGGTTTTCTTGATTGACAGAGTACAATCTGTTGCTGAAGTTGAGGCTAAATTTTTATGTCATTAAACAACACTTAAGTACTTTAGGTTTTCACTTACACAGATGACTTCCCATTGCGAGGATCTTTGAATGTTGTTGTTCTTGTATTATGATCAACAAAGTACCTAACGCCTTCCCGAGTATACCTGATTTCCCACCCTTCTGGCAGGGGTTCTTCATTCTGTAAGCTAATACATAAAGTTATAATCACAGGGTGAACATTTTCTAGGTACTAAAAACATCTGAATCAAGGTTTACTTGATTATACCTACAGATGCATGTAATATTATTTAAGTAAGGCTGTAGTACACACATACCCTTGAGTTCTTGGATCTTCCCACTGGGTTGTTTTTGTATTATGATTCACAAAGTAAACCCTGTCAGTTGAATCCACTCTTTTTTCTAAAAAATAGAGTGAGCACAGCATTTAATAACTATTTATTACATATATCTTCAGATATTTTTACCAACAACATATCAGCTTACCCCAGCCTGGTGGCAAAGGCCCATATGGGTCATTTTCTGCAGCTAACATTGAAGCCTGATTGGAGAAAGGGTCGGAGGGGGGAA